CCGCCAACCTCCTGACAGGATTCATCCTCGACCTCCCCTCGCTGTCCCGCCAAGCCCGCTCCAAGAGCGTCTACATCTTCGTCCTCGTCTTCGTGACGGCGGCCTGGACCTGGAACGCGATCGTGCAGACTCGGCTGGCGCGCATGGCCGACCCCCCGACCTTCGACCTAGGCGACGGCGCGTTCTTCAACTCCGCCTTCACGGTGTACATGTTCTTCAAGTTCTTCTACGAGGTGCTGCAGACGTATATCTACTGGTTGATGGCAGAGATCAAGGGCGCGAGCGGTGATGGGGACGTCGCGCGCACGACGGGCATCCTGCGGTCGTGGGAGTCGATCGGAAGTACCATTGCTTATGCGGTGGGCGCGACGCATTGGCCGAATGAGAAGCAGATGGTGCTGGGGTTTGTGTTGTGGGGGGTGACGGTGCCGTTCACTCTGTTGGCGGTGTTTGGGGAGTGGAATGTGGGGGTTGAGGGAGATGATCGGGAGGCAGAGAGGGAGGGCAATACGGGGAGCAGTTCCAGTTTGGAGGCGCAGCGGGTCATCGTTGGGGTTGATGGGAAGTGTTGAGGTAGAGATACATAGTGGGAAGCGAGACTGACATCCCAGGGCTTCCGAGAGGCTGTCCGTTCATGGGAGGGTCCACTCTGTCATCATCCAATTTCCAGTAAACCATCCCAAATTCGTGGATATGATCTGAGTATCTGCATACTACTGTGGATGCCATAGATATGATAGATATGGAGTATCTTAGCCCCACCCTTAATTCCCCTGCACAGACCCCAATCGCTCCCGCCAGCTAGCGCGAGACAGTCGTCTTCTCGACGGCCGACAGACTTGGGTTCTACATACAGGCTTAGCTATCATGTTGTCCACAGCATGTTATCTCCGTACTGCGTGGGTGCCGAACCCCCGTTAGAGCCCAAGGCCTGCGAGCCAAAGCAATGCAGCTAAATTGGAGGCTCTCGTCTTCTCCACCCATGTTCAACTGGATAATCCTCTTGATACCCATTTCAAGCGCTCGTGGACTAAGAACGTCCTCGTTATCAGCCAGACTTCCTCTCTCCAGAGGGCCCTTCCTCGACCCTTCAAGCTCCCAGAGCTTCCCACCGCTCTTGACAAAGCTCACAAAATGTCCCCCGTTACGCTCACGCGTCGGATCTGCATAGCTGTCGCCAGCCTGTTCAACCGACTTGTGGGCAATTTCGAATGGCTCGCTGTTGGATAGCATTTCGGCGCGGTGGATCATATCGAGCGGTATGGCGAGGCGCCGGATCGCTGCGAGGTCGGAATCAGGCTGGATGAAGTCGACAGCCGGACCGTTGATCAAGCAATGGAGCAGGCCAATTGAGCCGCAGGCGTGGCCGATGGTCTGTTTAAACCAGATGACCGGCTCGTCTGGGCCAGATCCGGTGTATGTTTCTGTGTTAGCGTCTTCTGCCTTGCGACTTTGATCCCAAGCTGGGGTAAGTGGAATGATGACCAGTAGAGCCAGAGCAGGGCGAGGGATATGTGCCATTTGTTCGGGGTCCAGGGAGTAGACGTCGTAGAACTGGAGCTCGGGCGATAGACCCAGCTTGGCTGCCAATTGATTCATCACATCGGGGTTGTTTTCTGCCATTTGCGATGAGGTTCTATCCCAAAACAAGTGGGCCATGAGGGCTCAGGTCCCCTTACCCAGCATTGACCATGTCTTCTTTTCCATTTTGGGTGTTTTTGGGAAAGTCAATTATAGAGAGTCGAAAAGTCAGATGTTATTGGCAGACAGGAAGGGGTAGATGGAGACAGATTGCAGGATCCTACTTAATGTAGTCAGATTCACGGCTATGTGGGGAACATCTCACTGCTGGTGGATGACCCCGCCCTGATGGAGTATACTGCCCTCCGGCACCGCCTGCCACAAGGGCTCGATCTCGCTTTGTCATCTGCAGGACGGCTCAGTGATGCTACAGATATTCTACTTTGATTAGTAGAAGTTGAAACCAAACATAAACTTTAAATTCCATATGTCGGCTGTTAGCTTGTGCTAATGGAGTAGAGAAAATCGCGCCGTGGGGCTTTAATCAGTGTAGGGCAAGGGACAGTACCTTCCATATTGCGGTAGTTGAGAGACACGGCATTGATCCTGACGAGCACCTCTCCCGGTCCCGGGGATGGCAGCGGTGCCTTGACTTTTCGGAGGCCGTCGAAGCTATCGAAGTGTGAGATGTATTGCTCGAGTAAGGTGGACATAATGTTCTGATTGTATAGAGAATTGTGGGTTGAGTTCTTTGTTTTGGACCTGGGGCCTCGTAGGAATTTGAACTGGAATATTATTTTGTACACCGCGGACCAACATCCTTGAAATCCACGCATGGATTTAAACTATTGTAGTTCACTTATTCCACTGGTTTAATTCTAGCCCCCGAGAAGATAGGCTAGCAGGACTGATGCTATCACAGATACCCTTATGAGTCTTTATCTAATTCATACTCAGCTGCCTTACCCCTAAAGTTGTACCTAGTCGCGCTAAGAAGGTACGTTGCTAAGCAGTGGACGGCGAGAGTCACGGGCCGCGCAACGCCCTACCATGATCACGAATGACTATTTCCCAGGAGCAATGCGAAGATCCAGGTTCATAATAAAAGCAATGATCTTAGCAGAATCCACATTGACCAGGGTATTGTGGATGACGATATAGAATAATCACTAGGTACCATGGAGTGATTGGGCTTGCCAGCTGCCAATAGGAATGCATGGAGCAGAGATTCTCACATAGCGGCCAATCATATTGTAATAGCTCAGCTTATATTGGGTTGTTGGAATTTAACAATACACTACCTAGTACTAGTAGTAATGATGGCCTTCTTCCCCTTCAATTGCAACTGAATTCAAATCTTACCGGGGCCCCCCCAACCCTACCTGGGGGGGCGATGGTTTTCAGGAAGACGTTGGAATATGTGCAAAAATGCGCCGTCTCGAGTCGACACCTCCCCAAGGAAGGTAACAAGATTGAACCTCAGTTTTCTGTGCTCCCGCATTGCGAGACAAAAATTGGCAGGATGTTATCGGCGAGGTGAACATAGGGTTCAGGCAAAGGGTTCTGTAAAATCCCATTATGAGAAAACATATTTTCACCCTTCCGATATTTGAATTAGCTTTTCTGCCCTAACAAGACTTCAAGATAGAAACAAAAGAGAAAAGAAGAAAGAAACCTATTCTCGGCCAACAACCCAGGGTAGATTGGCGGTCGCGCAATCACCAAACATAAACATATCCAGGATATAAATGCGTAATCGACACCCTCTACGGTATCAAGAGTTCCCCTGCCTAGCCTGTGGATATCCCATTAGCACGGGTGGGGCAGCAGCCTTGCTTGGTACCTTGGAAACTATGCACCCATCTTGTTATCTGGCAAAACATGCCCCGCAAAGTCAGTATACAACCGTAGCAAATGCAAAATGAAAGAGTTCGGCATTAGCTATAAGACTAACGTCCAGAAACGAGGTCCTCATAAAGAAATATGACCAAAAAAGGGTAAAAATATATGACCTACGCAGGGCTCGAACCTGCAATCTCTTGATTCGTAGTCAAGCGCCTTACCATTGGGCCAGCAGGCCAGCTGTTGAGAGTGCGAGCCAAATTATTTTACATGAAGCTAAAGGACGGTTTTTTCACGCTCCTGCACTTTGAGTGGCAAAGGGACTAATCGATTACAGGACTGAGGTTCGTGAAGATAGATGTGGCATTACGGGTGACAGCCCCGTCCACAGCAGGGCGTGCGGTACTACACTTGTACTAAGCAGAAAGCAATGCCCACCTGGGTTCTCAACTACTTCTTCCCCTGTCTCTCTCCTAATCCTAGCAGCTTATCCATCCCGGTTGGGTCATATAGCAAATTCAACGATGCCAGAATTTCTCCGATGAGGGGGAAGGGTGGATGAGATCTCGGTGCTGAGATCGACCCTGCTATATGGTGCCGTTAACACAATGGCTCAGTAAGGAATCCGCCCAATAGAATCCAGCGGCTACTCACCTTACACATCCTGCCTCTAACGCGGCTGTCCGCGTGGCCGAGTGTAGACACCACCGCCGCCGTTCCTAGATCCGAGTGCGGTTATTAGCCTAGCCTTGCATATGAAACCATACAGGTACAAGTTTACATTCCTCACATTCCTCCTAAAGCAAAGAAGTAATGGAAAAAAGAAGGCGAGTTAACTTACTGGTGAGCGATACAGTACCCTGTGTTCCGCTGGGTCACAGTGCCGCAGTTACAGCCGCTGCCATTGTTGACGCTGCACCCACAATCATATGAGGTCTTGCACATTGTAGTGTCTGTTTCTTTGGCTTAAATGTAGGGAGCTCAGAATGGATTTAGTGATGACAAGAGAATGGAAAAGGCCAGAGGATAGGCAGTACAGTAGAAGACGGGGCTGTGTTTGTAGAAAGAGATGGGATGTTCTAGAGAGAGGCGGTATATATACTTCCCATCTTATCGCAAGGCTGGACATGACGTGTATCAGATGATGGCTGCCTCGTGTTGCATGGCGGAGAGGATTGGTGCCCGCGGCCACAGCCAAGCTTCCTGCCCGCGCCTGGGCCACGAGGCTGACCGACGGCTACTGCCAGGTGATTGTTGATAACGCAGGGGGGTGGACGGGTTGCAAGGCTCCTTAGATTGACTGGCGCTCGTGTGTCAAGGCTGTAGCCCGGTCATTCTGGTGGCTTCGCTAACCCACAGCTTCAGGCTAATTCATGCGGTAGCAGTATGGATTATACATTAGCCGCTCTACCAAACTAGATCCATGTGAGTAGAACATGAGGACTATCAGCTTTCTGGTTTCCCGATTATGCGGGGATAATAAGAATTAGAGATCGAGATGTCATAACTAAGGGTCAAGTAACGGATCACTCACGTGCTGCCCTTTTAAAGCAGCCACAGTAGAATGAGCGAGAGTAGGTGCAAAACACTCCACTTATCCTTGGTAATTCTTTTTAAAGGTGAAAGAAATATGTAGTATTCTACCTAGCATTTTGAGAAATATTGCTAAAGCTAAAACATGAATTTCAGTTCCTTGTATGATTCCACCTCAGAATAAGACAAGACGAACATTGAAGGCCATGCCTCCGAGTTTACTCAGACCTAACCCCACGAGAAGTCACCCCCTAAGCAACCTGACGACGACGCATGCGCTGCTCATCACGGCGGCTCTTAGAAAGCGAAATCGTGAGATCAGATGACTGGCCCGCCGTGCAGACCGTGCCGGGCGCCATATCCTGGGAAGGAGTCCAGACTCCGTTGGCGCAGCGCTGGAAAGAAGTGCCGGCGTTGCACCACCAGGATCCCTCGGGGCTGCAGGCGCCGCTGAGAACGCCGGAGAGGGCAGTGCCAATGGCAGAGCTGGCGGTAGTGGTGGAAGTGGTCGTGGCGGCGTTCTGTTGGTGTCCGTTGGGGTGGCCTGCGGTCATCGTAGCAGCGGGGGCAGCGGCGGTGGTGATGGCAGCGGAGTTGTCCACGGACGAAGTCGCAGCAGATGTTTCCACCGCGACAACGGGGGCAGTGGCAGTGATCTTAGCCGCAGTGGTGGTCGTGGAAGAGACAGATGCAGCCGCGGTCGCAGAGCTGCTCCCCCACGCAGTGGAGACACCCGTGCAGGCAGCCGCATCCGTGGCCGCAAGACGAGAGGCCTCGCCGTCGTACTCAATCACATCGCCGGGGTTGGGGAAGCGGATGTCCACACCCTCGGTCGTGGTGCAGCCGTTGATGTTGGCCACGAAAAGGTCAGGGTAGCTGCTGCGCTTGGCGACGGAGCGCTTCTGGGCCGCGCTGTCCATGACGGTGATCGGGGCGCAGTTCATGTACATCTCGCGGGCCCCGACGCGGTTGAACCAGGTCCACGCCAGCGTGTAGTTGCCAGCCGAAAAGTCGGCCGGGATAGTGAAGTTGAACTGGTAGGGGTCCGGAGTCGAGGCGTCACCGTCCAGATTGCCATCCACGTTGGCCGGACAGCCCCCCTCGAAGGACTTGATGACCTGCCAGACCGTGTCCTTGGAGGGCTGCATGTCTGTGGTCAGACTCACCTGGCAGGAACCGCCACCGTGGACGGCGATGCCGGTGAAGTTCAGCACCTGAGACACCCCAGTCTCGAAATAGTTCATCTCGTCCGCGGCGGGCCAATCGTACACCCCGTCGCGCTGCTTGCAGGGGAAGTCGCTGCCGTCCGCAGCCAAGGGCGAGTTGTTGAGGGTGGATTTGCCGTAAGGGACCGGGTGGTCCATGATCATGTGTGCCTGGGCCATCGAGGCCGAGAGCACCGATGCAGCAATCACACTGGGCTTGGTGAACAACATGTTGTTTTCAAACGAACAGGAGATAAATGTCGAAGTGACGGTGAGCAAGCGCAGGTCAAATTGTTCCGGACAATTGACACGGTTAACGAGCGAGAAGGTACGTTGTTTGCCACAGGCACAACTTTCCTAAGCGGATATAAAGAATGACAGCAGGACTAGCCTGGAAGGAAGAGAAGAGGTCGGATGATTGTCGATAAACAAAGACACACTGTTCAGAAGGTAGTCTGGTATTTATGCCCTTCAGAGGCAAGGCAGCCATCGTCCACTCTTCATATTGAACCATCGGCACTGCTTTGATATCCCAACGACTCTCGATCTGAAACAAGGAATGCTCAGATCGGGAGATCCTGGAGAAGCTAAGCGAGATCATGGTTGAGGGGGGTAACGAATCACCGATCGCGTTTTCCTTGGTAAATCGTCACGGCAGTGGTCGCTCTTGACTCGTGGTTCTTGGCTTCCCCAGAATCTGATGGATCGGGATGGGCCGAATCCTGTAACCGAGATGCCGGAACCGCCGGAGGCGTTCGCTTAGAGGGCGTGGAGATTAAGGACTGCATCCTGAAACATCAAGTGATGTGAGTGAGATCTCATTCTCTCTTGCTGTTGGGAGATGCTATTCACTACTCAACGCCCTAACACCGACCTGATGCTAGACAATCGGCATTGCTGGGCTAATGCCGGGTTTGAAGGCATTCACATCGTCCACCTCCACAGAATTGCCAAATCGGGACATTGTCGCTTCGGTCCGCTTTCCAGACCATTCATTCCTCGATTGAATCCAGGCTAGAAGCCCTGAGCACCAGCTTCTGAGCTTATCCGTGACGTGACAAGGTCGAAGTTACAAGTATGTCTTCGATGATTGTCGTCAATTAATTCCGATCATGGTTATGCGACATATCTCAACTGGGAGTGGCACTAAGCGTATCTTTCTCTTCCCTTTGCTTTTATAGAGACATAACATAGGTATTTACACTCGGGTACCACTCGAGAATTGCCGATCGGGGCAGAAGAAGTGCTATCTTGCCGTGGCGGTAGATTCAAATTTGACCATCCATTTTCGGTGTAGTGAACGTACTGGTATTGAGGTCAATGATCGGCAAGCCATAGCACCGGAAGAATACATGTCATAATTCTTGTGCGGCCACAGGGAAGGCGTCCTGTCATATGTGTCAAAAAGGGGCTCAATTTCAACTGCAGGAGTTCAATTTTGGAGTATTATGCAGATGGAAGAGACGGTATCCGAGCCCGAGGTCTCAACATCCTGGAACATCGCATGTTCATGCTTCACCTTGCCGGTGTGCGATTGCAGTCTCATCGATCCCTGATGCATACATATTGAGGCGATGATAGCCATTCATTGCGAAGAACAGGGTCATGAGCGGCCCTGAGTACCGATTCCTTCCATCGCCTTTTAGCATTGGAGTTCGGGTACTTTCGATCGGTCACAATAGTCGCCAACCTTGCCGGGTGCCAACAACCATCATAAATTCCAAGCTGCTCCCACCTCTCCAATTCACGTTGTTCCAAGCATTGAGCTTCCATTGACCTCACTTCGAGCCAACCAATCTCCTTGACTTCCACCGCACCCAGCCCACCGCTATGCGCTTACGGCCATCCTTCCCTACCTGGCGCTAGCCTCTCATCCGCTCACTGCATCCGCAGTGATTACACCAGGCGATTTAGGTGACGCGATTGGGCCTGTTGGGATAAGAGTTATAGGACGCGAGTTTGATGACTTGTACTGCTGTGCTGGTGTTGACGGCCCCAACACCAACTCCTACCGGCAAGTGCAGCGATATACCAACCCGGGTGCTGTCGTAGGAACCAAATGCAAGCCAGCCCCGCGCCTGGGGCCTTGTCCAGCTTTTGAGCCAAACTACTCCCTTATGGAGGATTGTTCCTCTCGTGCACACAGGATGCTGACTCTGCGGAGTAAATCTAGGTAATCGTCCCGATGAAGCAACGGGAGATTGCGACTCACGTGTATGCACACTGGTCTCCTGCACGGGCAGTCTTGGGGTATGAATCCTGCCCTCGCACCTCGCTGACAGACCTGATACTAATGGACTTTTCTTTCTTAGGAGGACAAACTGAACTACATTCCAGAGTGAATTGATTAGCCGATCAGTGGTCTTTGTAGCGGGACAAATGACAGAAGTCGGAGATTGGGTTTTGACGTTTAAGTGGTTGATGGGTAGTCGCTCTACTTCTAGCATGTCCATGTACTGTAATATACTGCCTAGTTTGATGCCAACCGAAGGCTTGTCCCGCGGAAATGCCCCAGTCTCCCCATTCTTCTCTCTTTTGTTAAACACAAACCGAACGCCTGTTTGCCCCAGGCAGCAGAGAAGTAAGCGACTGCAAGAGCGGACCCTGGAATGCGACGCTAGCGGGCTAGTCCGTGAAGAAGCATGCCAAACCGAGCGGGGGCTGACGTGGGCGGGCCCTTAGGCCTCCCATGTTTAATCTACTGCATCTCGCTTAGGTAAACGACATCAAAGGCGAGACTCATTCGTCCTATCACGAGGAGTACTCTCCTGGGGTAGATTCTAATTAGGAAGAACGTGATCGCAGACATCAGGTAGGCTTCTTGCTCACAGCAAATCCCATCCATGTGGCCCTTGAAGACTTAGCGCTTCGACTGAGTCTTAGCCCGCATGCCGCTATCCTCATTGTGGTCAATATAAGCAGCCACGGGTTCCATTCCGGAATAGAGCTGACAGCTGTGCCAGAGAACCATGTGGGGCCTTCGACTTCAGTTCACTAATCACCAAATGTACGTAAGCCTTTTCTAACCCAGCAACGAATCAACGGGTTATCTGGGCTATTTTCGGAGTTTTAGATCTATCTTCAGTACTGTCGGGCTCCGACAAGCCATGAAGAGCTGAAGAACGCTCCGTCATCGGAGAATAAGATGGAAATTAGAAAGCAAGGCCTGAGTGATTCTGTAGACTATAAAAAGGAGGTCCACCTCCACCAAAAAAAAGAGGCCAGACTCATCAAGCTCTCCAGTTCCCCAACAAGCAATCCTTCTGAGCAGCCGGCACTCGCAAGTACAGTACATACCTTCACCATGAGGCTCACCGTGTCCAAGGTCAGATGCCTTGTGGAGCTTGTTCCATCGTAACAACTTGTGAAATTCATGCACTAACCAGAACGTACAGACTCTTGCCCTCCTCTCCGCCACCGCCGCCACCGTCACCGCCCTGGCAGAGGTATCTATCGACTTCTACTTGTTCAACACCACTTGCTCCTTGGACAAGCCCACCACCTACACCATCCTGGAGAACTCCTGCTTCGGCATCGAGGGCTGGCCCTGGGGCTCACTCGCCCCTTACCTCGCCGACGGTACGACCTGCAGCGATGCCACCAAGACACCCGTGCTGTACACCTGGACCGACTACAACGAGCAGGACTATGACAACTGCGGTAGCACCCTCTACGCTACCTACGACGTCACCGATGAGCACACCTGCTACCCTGTGGACGCGGAGTATCTCCAGCGGCTGCAGGTCAAGTGCGAGTAGGGTGTTTGATGAAGCTATCAGGGATGTATGTACATAGGAGCGGGTGCTGTGGTGTGCCTTGTGCAGAGAGCCAGGGCAGATAGCAAGATTCTAAGGGTGACAAGTAGTTCTGGAGTCTCTACAGCCTTCAAGTCACTATTAATCACACATTATTGGTGTATCTTGCTGCCTGGTCAATACAGTAGTAGTTAACCTAGAATGAAGAGGATCTGCCCCTTTGATTGCCATGTATTCTCACTACACCGCCCCAGGTTATGAGTACTATGCAAGGCCAAATATGAGAAGAAGTTTATAACGTGTATGTGAGGCCTAAGAAGACTAGATTCAGGCGCACTGGGCAAAGTTGAACCTGCGTTAGGGTCGCCAGTCCTGCTGCGTTTGGGCGTTGAACTCGGAAACAGATCGCCTTGGGGTTGTCGCACTGGGGCCAAGTTGTCGGTCGGTTCCATGTCGCGTTGGGCGAGGTCCAAGCAATTCCTGTGAACAGGTTTGGCGCATTGGCAACGAATCAAGCAGTCGCAGTCTTTTCCAACACCACCAATCGCGCCTTGTCCCACCCCTTCCGATAGTCGGTGAGCTCGATGCTGACTACTCGTACCAGGCTCTCGGCGGCCAGCCTCTCGATCTCCGTATCAAACCCCATGGACACCCACACCTCGTCCAGGATAGTTGCCACGATCAACCCGCCTGCCCTTAGGATCCGGATGAATTCGCGGAGCGCAGGGTTCGGCCCCACATGGCCGTGGGTGAAGGTGCCGGCGCAGGTCACGATGTCGTAGGTCTCGGCGGGTAGGTCGATTCGTTTGGTCAGGTCGGCTTTTGTGAGTGTGCGATACACCCCGGTATTGGTGGCGACCTTCAGCATCGCCGGGGATAGGTCCAGACCGTCGATGATTAGTGTTGCTGCATTGCTGACACCTCCGATGAGACCCTCGCCGACGAGGCCGGTACCGCACCCGGCGTCGAGGATCCGCGCGTTCGGCGACTTGATGACTTGGAGTGCGGTTTGGGCGACAGTAAACGGGGCGACGTAGCTCTGGGAGGCATCGGTGAGGTCTTGGTTGTAGGATGTCGCCCAGGTGTCGTAGAGCGCCATGCAGTCTTCCTTGCTGCCGCTGGCGCGGGCCTTGACGAGCAGGGCGTTTTCAACCTGGACCTGGGTTGCCATCGTAAATAACTGTGTGTGCGTTAACTTCCTTCCGAGATAGATATTGAAGAGTCTGTGAGGGAGGATAGGAATTTATTTCATGATAGACCCAGGTTCCTCAACACTTAAATATGGTGCCCCTCACATAAGGCACCTTGCATTAATCTGCCAACGCGCGACATGCGAGAGAAGGAGGGGAACAATCTAATAAGCGCAGTCAAGGTGTGATATACCCAATGGCAACCAGGAACAAGCCCATGAGATGCTGTGCATATACCTTTAGAATGGGAAATGCAGTGAACAATGGCACTGTCTAGAGGGGTTTAGTGCGGGGAATGAGAGCATTGGCCCCCGATCGTCATCTTACCCCGCGACCGCGCAAGATTCGATCCATTTAGCTTTCCTCCTGGGCTACACAGAAAATCCTTGTGTAAGTCTGCAGATGTGAGTCCAGATACCTTGTGCCTGTTGGTTAGGGCTTTGTAACCCGAGCAATGTGCTTGTATCTGGTCACCTATCCTTGTGTCGGGCTTGGTGCGGGTGCGGGGTCCTACATGTTCCAAGATTGATGGAAGGAACTGATGCACCGCATAGAGGCTCGAGGATTGTTAATTAACTGATGAGGTAAAGCTAGAAAGTGTCTTGCAAAAAGCATCCAAGAAAACAAAAGGAGTTTTGTTTTAACAGGCTGTAGCCTATTTCAGGTACCGACCGGCAATCTGACATAGACATGGCGGGGTAATGAGCTAAGAAACAAGTTACAGTACACTACATACGGTATCGTAGGCTAGCAGGAACGATCTACCCACCTCCTTATCACCTTATCTTGTAAAAATAGGGCCAGTACCAGATATATCATCCCCAACAATCATGATCCTTCCGCCCGGAGTGCCTCATTCTACGAATCCACCTTTCCATCAACCTACTTGACCCCTCTTCCCCAGCAATGGCGGAAATTGAAAGTGATGCAGACAAAGCAATGCGTGACGGTCTCTCCCAATTTCGCGAGAAAATGGAAACCTCCAACCGCCGCTTCCTCCAGGACCGGGTCACTGAGATCGAAGCCGTGCACCTCCCGACCGAAGCCGACAAACTCGTGCAAATGCGCGACTACTGGGACAAGCTGGGCGAAGGCGGCCCGGATCCCTACTGGAACAGTATCGCCGGGCCGGGACCTGTCCGCGAAGACCGCGAGGTCCGCAACGTCAAACATCTGGCCGATGTCCCGTCGCTGTACCATCAGTACATGGACGGGGTCTGTTCCCCGCGCTTGCGGACGGAGGCGTGGCGGCAGATGTACCGGGCGACGTTCCACGAGGTGTGCTCCGCGGCGGTGGCTGATGATAGCCAAGGCCAGGAGGCGGAGGAGATCCCCTTGTGTGAGGAGTTACTGCTGTTCCTGAAGTACGCGAACGGGGTCTCGGATCCAGATTTCCGACGCTCGGGGATCGCTTCTTTTATGCCGGGGTTTTATATTGGGGTCCCGGAGTATGCGGAGGAAGAGGAGGTGGAGGGTTTGAGGGATCTGGAGGCGCAGCGGGAGGCGCTGAGGGGGTATTTGGAGGATAGTCTCCTCGGTCAAGTGGAGCTTCATGGGACGGTTGACGATGATTTGGAGGTGAAGGTCGGGTTTCTGACTGGGAGTGGTGGTTGGAGGGACGAGGACCTATGGTATAGTGCTTATGCTTACTGTCGGGTGATTGGGGGTGAGGAAACAGACTCTAGGTATAATGATTGGGCCTGGCGGGTGGTTTTCTTCGAGGCGACTGAGGAGAATCCTACCACGTTGTACGGTCGCAGACCCTTGTTCAATTCCATCCCGGAGTTCTTGGAGTGGTACAGCAGCTGGCCCGATTATGTGGACATGCGCCAGGTTCGACGAAATGTTCAAGGATACTACACTCAGTGCGAGGTTGATTGTGGTTGTGGCTAGGGTTGGTCTCCCGCTACGCGGCATGATCGGGATTGCGAGTACTGTACTGTGCGTCCTGTAGACAAATGGGTATAGGGAGCTCACGGCATGAGAGTGGAAAACTTAATCTATTTCTGATTGAGGGCCTTTGTTTGCATTGAACCAAGCATTATGTGGGGATTACACAGACATTAATTCAGTCTTTTAGCCTAATCTCATCCATAGGCGAGCCTTACACCAAGAATTTCCCAGTAAGCACTTAAGGTCGTAGCATAAGGCCGTCTATACCCTGTTAATATCTTCTTCGCATCCGCACAACAATTCATATCGTGCCGTAATCGTCCCCGTCAGACCCGCAATTTCCCCGTCGGATTTGATGTTCCGCCACCCGAGCGAACCTTAGCCCTTGCTAGGCTATGATTTCATCTCCACCCATATATTGCGAACAGATTTCACATGCGCCGTTCCCTAAAGCTCATCCACATTGATTCCTGTCTATCCTTGCTAAGTCGTCAGATCCTTGCCTTCACTCCCGCTAGGTGAATGAAGCAAACGAAATGTTTAGAATCTGTCGGTGAGTCGCAAACCTCGTCTCCGAACCCTGGCTAAAAGTGGTCTGATCTCGGATAGAAACAAGATTCTTTGATGGTGAGAAGGACCCCTGCTGCTGCTTGACTGTCGTTCATCCACATTACCTCTTTAGAAAAAGGGCAAACTTCCCATACGCCCTAAAGGAATATCGAACCCCTCGAACTCCATTTCTCTATCCACATGAACCGGAAAAAAAAATAAATAAACACAGGAAATGTATAATGAGAGAAGTGTCTAAATGGAAAGGTTGGCATCAACAAGGAGGGGAAGAAGGAGAATGCAAGGATCAACGAAGTCTACACCATCCCCGGCCCCGGCCGATCGAACCCCCGACCCTGCGCCCCAGCCGCCGCGCGACTCCGCTCCGCCTGGGCCTGCATCGAATGTGACACAGTCACCTCTGTCGTCAGCATGATCGTATCATGCTCATGCGGCGAGAGGATGTACTCCTCGCTCGAATTATCGCTGCTGTCGTGGCCTGGAAACGAGGTCGCCGTGGCAGTGGTTGTGGTGGTCGTTGCCGTTGGCTTCCTGGGGAAAGGCTCGGGGTCGTGGTGGCTGGCTTGGGTCTGTGACTGGCCGTGCTGCTGCGATCGGGACATGGAGCGCAGACGGTAGGCCTTGCTGCCGTAGGTGTTATGTTGGGGGTAGTTGTAGGGTCGCGATTTGTAGCGTGAGCCGTAGCTGCCCAGCACTTGCTTGAAGAGGGGTTTCAGGGTCGGGAGGCTGCCGGCGACGATGCCCATGTTGGATTCGACGCTATAATCAAGAAATAATGTTAGTATTCACGCCGCAGAAAGGGGCTGGGTTATATGGAGGGAGACCTACACAACCCAGATTGTGAGAGTAGAATAATCCCAGAGAAAGTCGCCCGTGCGACCGTAGTTGGGAAGCACGGTGAGCTTCACAATCGCTGCGGCGCAGGCACTGTACGCACAATTGGATCCGGTTAGTTCATTGTTGCTATACTATTTCAAAATGGAGTGTGGGGTCTTACAAGATACCCAATCCCAGGATGCATATCAAGGAAGCCTTGGTTCGTTTGTTGACTTGGAGATGTCTGTCCGGTGGTGATGTTAGGGTTATGTCTTTCCCAGCATACAATCGTATTTGCTAGACTTACCTGAGCATGAAGATCGGGAGAATGGCAAAGATCAAATCGGTGAGGATATTCAAAGCTGAAAGTATGTCAGGTAAGCGACAAGCAAGATCTCTCAACTAGCATGCTTACCTGTATTTGTATAACTCAATTTCAGCAGCTGTATCGGGGCAAAGCATTTCGACTTGACCGAGAAATCCCAAATGCTCCGCATGTCATGGCATTGGAAAATGAGTGTCTGGAAGCAGTCAGCATCACATTGTCATCTGTAAGACAAACCAGCACCACGTACGAAGAAACAAATTGTCGTGTAAATGAGCATCAGAGCTATATGCCGTCAGTTGGGTAATAACTAGGACATAGAAAAAGCTGCACTGACCGATGACCACCCAAATAAAAATGCGATAGCCCTTGCGCGGTGCGAACCGTAACAGGAACAGTCCGATGGAAATCTTGACGAGTCCAATGGCCCACATGTATATCGCCTGGGTAGCAAAGTTCAGATGCATTGCTTTGGTAGCTGTCCTTTCGACGTAGGCCGTATGTCGGCCCGCGCCGTAGATGACTTCTGGAATGATAATCCCCCATCCGCTGAGTGACTGATGTTCGCAACGTTAGTACTGCAGGTACAGGTGGGTGAGTCAGTAGATGATCCCGGGAAACTTACCAATATCATAGTCAACAGCATGGTATAATCCTCCGGCTCGGTCAGCTCGAGCGAATTGGTATGGGCCAAGGCAGAGACAGCACTTACATCAAACCCCACATTGCGAATGAGGAAAATGCGAACATACATGCGGGCGAGCACGGTGATTGCAGCCCCAGCAGTCACAATGCTTGTGGCCGCCAGGATGCGTGGCCCTTGATTGTCATTAGGAAGGCCCGCACCCCCCGGATGCGCGATGGTCGACATGCTCACCACAGGAAAACGAAGGACTAAGCTGAGCTAGCTAGCTATTTCCTGGGTGATGCTTGACCTCGGCCAGGTTATGAATATCTAGGAGCAGACAGAGCTGGTATGATGACCATGCCAAGGATAGGTGCATGAACTACGGGTCCGCCATCCGACCATGGAAGAGTCAGGAACACGAGAATCGAGATCCCGCAGGATGCAAAAGCTGCATTCGCTTGACTAAAGAATTCGATCTTCGCAGGATTCATCTCACAAAAATGGGCGTCCGGTCGCGACCGGATTTCCGGATCCAACGGTCGACCGTTCGATCTCGGACGACGATCAGGATCCGGTAGCAGACCCTGGACGGTGGCCATCTGATAGCAACAATGCACCACCCAAGTTGGTGCCTGCACCGATGCTTCTTTCTGGCCCTTGTCGTTCATTTACTGTTCCTATCCTAGTCCCTAGCAACATAGTCCAAGCCACGCATGATAGACCAAAAACCTGGCCAATGGACCGTGCGCCTAAGGGAGGGCCAGCCAGCCCAGGGTGGATCGGCCAGTGCCATCGGACCTGCCAAGTCGCTTCAACCTCGGCTTGGGCAGTTGATTTGCAGTGTCGCACCTGCACCCCTAAAATTGGGTGGATGGCCAGATTGATTAACTTTTTGGCCGGAGTGGACCCGGGTGGAGTGCAGTGGAGACAGGGATAGAGGGTTGACTGGAGAGACGGATGTCAATGATTTTGTGCTGTCGCCGGTTGCATCTCCAACCCTCACCAAACCAGTATATCAAAGTGATGCAATCTATAATCCCTGGTTAGTGCTCGCCAGTCCGCCTCTCAAATCCCGGTCATCCAGACTAGTTCTTCCCTAAGGCACCATTACATCCTTTCCCCTGGCCAAGGCCAGCCAGTCAGCACGTTGTTGCTAATTGACTTTGCTCGCCATGCTGTTGAGTGCGTGGGGGTTGGGTAGGGGGGACTTTGTTCTCTCCTCTTCTTCCTCGGTCTTAGCAATTCCGTTCCTTGTCTAATAGACTGAGCCATAGTGCAGTATGCAGCTAAGAGAGCTAGCTAGGTGGGCCGATCGATGCACTGTATGTTAGTAGCAGGCAATGCGCCGCCGTTAAATTGACAATCATTCCCCCATTCAACCTGCTTCTTCCCGCCCAGCCTCCTTAGCTCTTAACTTTCTTTCTGCTTCCTGCATCTCTTCTCCCTTCTCTTCCTTTTTCCTTCTGACCAGGAGTGGTGTGACATCTGCCATCGCCACCATGGTCGCCCTCCAGGCTCTTACTCTAGGCCTGCTGCTCTCAGGGTCGTGGGCCCTCCCCGCAGCCGAAACAGCAACGGCCACCCTCCCCACGAGCGCCTCCAGCTCGACTGATGTGGCCTCGTCGCAGCTGGACCAGCTGAACTCCTTTGCCTACAACCTCACCACCGACACCTTGTCCACTCCGTCGGACAGCACCAAGCGCAGCGAGGGCACCTGCACTCTGGACAAGCTGCGTGTGCGTCGTGATTGGCGCACCTTCTCCAAGTCCCAGAAGAAGGCGTACATCAACTCCGTCCTCTGTCTACAGAAGCTGCCCTCGCGCACCCCGGCCGACCTGGTCCCGGGGGCGCGCACCCGCTACGACGACTTCGTGGCCACGCACATCAACCAGACCTTGGAGATCCACTACACGGGCACGTTCCTGGCATGGCACCGCTACTTTATCTTCGAGTTTGAGTCCGCCCTGCGCGATGAGTGCGGCTACACCGGCGACTACCCTTACTGGGACTGGGGTGCTGACGCCCACGATATGGAGAACTCGCCCGTCTTCGACGGCAGCGAGACCTCCATGTCCGGTAACGGAGCCCCCATCGCCGATCAACCGGACGTGATGCTGTACCTGGGTGACTACCCGGCCGTTGACCTCCCGCCCGGCACCGGTGGCGGCTGCATCACCAGCGGCCCGTTCAAGGACTACAAGGTCAACCTGGGCCCGGCTGTTCTCTCCTTGCCCGGAGGCAACACCTCGATGGCGGCTAACCCGCTGGCTTACAACCCCCGGTGTCTGAAGCGGTCGCTGACCACCGAGATCCTCAGCCGGTACAACACCTACCCCAAGATCGTCTCTTTAATCCTGGACAACGACGATGTCTGGGACTTCGAGATGACGATGCAAGGCATTCCCGGCAGCGGCTCGATTGGTGTCCACGGCGGTGGCCACTACTCCATGGGCGGCGATCCCGGCCGTGACGTCTACGTGAGCCCCGGTGATGTGGCCTTCTGGCACCACCACGGCATGATCGACCGCGTCTGGTGGATCTGGCAGAACCTCGACCGTCAGCACCGCCAGAATGCCATCTCCGGTACCGGCACGTTCATGAACAACCCCCCGTCGGCGAATACCACGCTTGACACTGTTATTGACATTGGCTATGCCAACGGTCAGCCCATTGCCATGCGCGATCTGATGAGCACGACTACCGGGCCTTTCTGCTACGTCTACCTTTAAGTGGACTGTATGATGGCTTTTGATTTTGGGTGCAAAAATTGCAATTTAGGAGGATTCAGATGGAAGCTTGTATATATGCATGATAGAACTTAACTAATGCATTAATGTGCTTATCGGAGAGTAGTTCTGTACACAGCATGTTGAACCGTAATAAGAGAGACATCCAGATTCACTTACACAGCAGATTCAGTACCCAGTGCAACCAGTGCCTCACCTCATAACCATCCCCGCCTTGATTTGAGCGTTGCGAATCTGCATGCCTGAGGCATCAGGATATCCGGATCTCCCGGATCGCCCATTTCCTCCACTCCAAGATGATAGCAACTAGTCTGACCACCACACCGCGTCTATGTATATGGAACATATCACCCTTCCTTGTCAGTCTGACTGGTCAACTGAGAACCTGGGAAATGGTGCACTCCTTCCTTCACCGGTGCCGACACTTCCAAGCTGTGCTGCTGCCGGGGTGATCGAATCACAGACCCTTGGCGGAGAAATCACTCAAGTGTGGATCCCTGTGAGACCCGCGGAAGCGGAAGTGACCGTTCCAGTCCACGGTCTAGATTTAGCTTCCTGGCCAAGGCGCCTGGTCCCTGGTTGAGATTCTGTTCTTGTGCGCTCGATTGAACGGAGGGGTTTTTGGATTTAGTGGTTGGTTGCCCTAGTCGGAGGGCCGATGCTCAGTTATCTGCTGGAAATCGGATCGATCAATACTTCCGGGAACTCACTTTAGGAAAATTGTCAGAATTTCAAGTCTTTGGTTCTTTTATCTTATAGGCACTTTGTTATGCGGCGGAAATGTCCTCTACAGTACAGAATGTGACTGTGAGGAAGCGAGGATCTGCCAACATCAGGCAATCAGCCCTGTCTTGGTCATGTGACCATTCGTGGTGCCTCAGGCATGAATGTCGGCTCCCGCTCGGTCCCTCCTTTCTCTCTGGTTATCTTATCTTCTTTCGATTCCCACCCCACACGCGGTAATGGAATCTATGTATGACTAGATCAAAGCTGTCCACCTGTCAGTGCAGGGATGGTCCAACGACCTCGTTAGCATAGAGAGGTGCCGTGATACGGAGGTCTTTCACAGGCCCAGACACTGCTCGTGCTGTTGATAGTGAGTGAGGGCATCTTGGTGGTGAAGATTTTTGGGACCTTGGGGAAGATAGGTGTCCAGGGACATGCTGTGCAGGGAGAAGAGTGATAGTAACAGTTTGATTTGCTGAAGTTAGCTGCAGCTCATGGCTCAGTCGATTGCAGAAGATACGAGGCAATTTGAGTATTCGTTGTTGTGTTGTTGTTCGGCAAGCTTGCTTGCCCTCTTTGCTCGGCATCCTGTCAACCCTGACTCGCCTGTCTATGATCTATGGCATATCCCAGCCTGATTCCTTCCGTGCAGTTGTACCGTACATATTCCCTTGGGTATATCCGCGATAGAAGACGTTGGCTATATATCCTAACATTATTATAACAGTATCTCCATACTCTGTTGTACTCCGATTATTCCCGGCCGTGGGTGGAGCATCGCCAACATTTCCGCCTTCTGAACCACTGCAAAAATTTTCACCCCGCGAAATTCGGCAAGATTCCCCTCTTTACCCCGCCATTCCCCCCCATCTTAGCTGTCTCCTGTGTAGCATCAAGCCTCCTTGCATTGTTGTTTCTTGCCCTGGATATTTTCTATATTTGTCCTTGAGGCACATAATATGATCGCCTCCGGGCAGATATGCGCTCTTACTTTGGCTAGTAACATGCCTCTGACCCCCAATATCATCACATGATCCCCTTGTAACGTCTCAACTCCCTCCACAGTGTGACATGTCGACAGCGCAAGGTGAAATGCGACGAAGCAAGGCCTGTATGCGGCCCCTGTGTCAAAGCCTCTCGAAACTGTGTCTTCTCCAACAACTGCATCTTTCGCCACTCCAGCGTCAACGATCTTTGCCGCGATCTGGGGAGCGGTTGGTTCCCGCAAGGGCCTCAGATATGGGTCCCGATTCCCTCGCCCCGTACAGTGGTTTCCTGTCTCACGGACGAACGAACGGCACTGACTCTTCCCCACAGTCACCTTTGTTCAGGTCATAGACCCATTTGCCGACGAAGAATTGACACCCTCGGTGAATGAACGCCATCATGATCACGAACCCCACCCAGTAGTCGCCTCGCCCTCGACAATCGCTACTGGAGAAGAGATTATAGCCCCGACTCCTGCTCGGAGCCCCGTGCCACCCGAACAGAATGGAATCTTGACAGCAGTCTTGATCCAGCACTTCCAGGCAGCTCCCGGTCAATGGCTGGACAGCTTCGACTCCAATGCGTATTACTCCATCAAGGTGCCCATCATGGCGGCTACGCGGCCGATGATGAGAGCGGCTGCCTGTGCCCTGGCCGCCAAACATTTGCACCGGCTCTGCCAGGGGGATTCCGTGCGGATATCTCAGCTCCCTCACCTGCGCAAAACCCCGCTGCAGTGGACAATTAGAGCTATCGATTGGAAGTACGAATCCGTGCGGCTCTACGACCAGGCTATCCACCACCTGAAAGAAGCCATTGCACTGGAAATCCCCGATGATCGGCGCGAGGAGATGTTCGCCGTGGTCGCGATCCTCTGCATGTATGAGCTGAGCGATGCCCCCAGCACCGAGTGGCGGGCTCACCTTAGCGCTCTGCCCTTCCTGTACTGCGGCAGCCCTGATGCCTGGAGTTCGACAGAGACGCTGCCTGATTCCCTGCTGCAAATTCCGCGCTCCGTGTTTTGGAGTCTCTACCGGCAGGACTGTCTCTCCGCATGTAGGTTCTCTTTCTTGCCGTGTGCTGTTCCCAATACACACTCTTCTAATGCCGTGGACCCAGTCATTAACGAGACCCAAACCCGCCTGGATCTCTCCGACCTCATCCTCTGGCGCAATTTCGGCCTGAGCATCTCTTCATACGGCCACCTCTTGCCCCCGTCGACTGCACCCACCACCCCTGCCATCCCCTCGGCCTCCCCTTCCCCTCGTATCTCCTCCCCAGCTTCCTGGCTCAACGAAGACACGCTCAGCAACGCTCTCATCTGGCTCACCGGCAAGATCATCAACTACATCACCAGCGGCGACGGAATCAACCCAGGCGACTACGAAAGCCCCCCAGACCAACGACCATCCTTCGGCACCACGCAAGAGGATCTGCTGAAACGATGGCAGCGACTCGACTTCGAGCTCCGCGCCTGGCACGACACCCTGCCAGTCTCTTTCACTCCCTGCGCGCGGACCCGTCTGTCCCTATCCACGGATCCCGGACCGATCGCGCGACGCCCCGTCCACGAGCACCACGACACCGATGACTCCCACCACCACCACCACCACCACCACCACAACAACAACAACACGACCATCGACGCCATCGTCTTCACAGTCCCCATGTGCGCCGTCACCATCCAGACCTACCACATGGCGCGTATCCTGCTGCTGAGCAACATGCCGCAGGAGGCCACCGCCATTCGGTCGACGGTGACCGCCCGCCTGCACAACTACCGGCGCATCGCGGGCGAGGTGGTGCGCCATGCCCGCGAGGTCTGCGGCATCAGTCTGGCCGGGCTGCCGGATGCCGTGCTCCCGCACACAGTGCAGCCGCTGTTCGTGGCGGGCCAGTGCTTCGAGGGGGTGCCCGAGCGGCGGTTGGTGGTGGACCTGTTGCGACGGGTTGAGTGCGAGACGGCGTGGGCGACTGAGTATCGCGTGCAGGATTTGCGGCGGCAGTGGGCGGCGGGGGGAGCGCTGGTGTGATGGCTTCGTATGTAGTGGCGCTTCTTTTTGGTGGTGGTATTATCGGTAGAGGTGTCTATGGCTCAGTGTTAGGGCTGGCGGGTCTGCCGCGGATGACGGGTACAGTACAGACAGCCCTACAGTCCCTGAGAATCGGCAGTATTTGCGGTGCATTGTTTGACTTAGACTCTGTAGCGTTATTCTTGTCTCACAGAGAGCATAGAGCAACCTGCAGCAGTGAGAATTGAGCGCCTCGATGCGCTGGCAATCGCTTACAAATGGCGATGACGTGAAGCTGCAATGCACTTTACTCATACATGCGAGTACTTACGTACACTAGTAGTGAAGAGGATACCCACAATGAAAGGCAATTCTCCCGAGCCGAAAGACGACAAGGTCTAGACCCATTGGCTGGACTAATCTAATCAATCCACTGTTCCCCACCGATTTCGTGTTCAAGCAATTAACGATAAACGATAAGAGCCGGACTCCGCAGAAAGAGGAGATCTTCCCGAGAGTGAAGGAATCCCTTCCGAGCCACCAATTCCTTCGCCTATCGCGGTCTCGAAGTGCGGTGACGATGGTGTGAGAACATGGAGATCCCACTTTAAAAATTTTTTTCATGACGAATTAAGCCTTCGAGGCTTATAAACGGCCTCTTCGGACGCGGCCTGCTCGTGCAAAGAGATATCTCAATACCATTCTCCAGAGCGAGAGGGACACCATACCGCAACCATGTCGCTGGTCGCGCATCTGTCGCGCTATGTCTGGGCTAGCATCTTATGCTCCTTAGGAGGGTTCTTGTTCGGGTGAGTTGTGTGCCCTCAGAGCTGCAGATTCACATTGAACTGGAACAGCCGCTAAACACTGACTCGATGGCAGGATGGACACCGGCATCATCGGATCAGTCGTCGTCATGGACCAGTTCACACAGAAATTCGGCTCCTTCTCATCCATCGTTCACGGACTCGTCGTCTCCGCCATCTTGATCCCCGCCGCTTTCTCCTCGTTCTTCGGCGGCAAACTAGCTGATTGGATCGGACGACCCAGGGCCATCAGTCTGGGGGGTCTTATCTTCGGGGTCGGGGCGGCCATCGAAGCGGGCGCCGTGCATCTGGCCATGTTCATTGTCGGTCGTGTCGTGGAGGGGCTCGGGGAGGGTCTGTATCTGGGGACGTTAGTCGTGTAAGTCTAACTACTCACCAGGCACTCGTTTGCTTGTCACGTTTGCTAATGAAGTCCATCGATCTGCACAGATACATCTGCGAGATCTCGCCTCCGAAGCAGCGAGGCCCGCTGACCACTGGCCCGCAGCTGTTCGTCACTATGGGCCTCGTCGTCGGCTTCTTCACCTGCTACGGTTGCGAGCGTCTGTCCTCTTCCATGGCGTGGCGTACCCCCTTTACCCTTCTGGCCGGCTTCTCCGCCCTTTTTGGCCTCGCGGCGTTCTTGTGGTTGCCCGAGTCCCCGCGGTGGCTTACCCTGCACAACCGCTCCGACGAGGCGACGCGCGCCTGGGAGTATCTCCAAGTCAGCCCGGCGGATCGGGAGGAGCTAAGCGAGGAAGACGACGACGAGGTCCACGAAGAGGCCGTCACGCACCCGCTGGCGCCGACGGGCAGCACTCTGGCCCCGAATACCCTTGAACAAGTCCTCTCGCGCCGCAGCGAGAGATCGATCCCTAAGAAGGGTGGCCACGAGACCAGCCTATTCGACGCATTCAAACCGGACGTGCGCAACCGGACGCTCTTGGGTCTGTTCCTGATGTCCATGCAGCAGCTTGCCGGCATTGACGGGGTCCTTTACGTACGATCTCTCCCCTGCCCGCCCCACCATTTTCACCACGCATACTAATGCAGGAAAATAGTACGCCCCGCTCCTCTTCGAACAAGCAGGCATGACGTCCGACCAAGCCAGCTTCCTCGCCTCCGGCGTGTCGGGGATCGTCATCTTCGCCGTGACGATCCCCGCCCTCATCTGCGCCGACAGCTGGGGCCGGCGCCACAACGTCATCCTCGGCGGCCTGGGGCTGACGGTCACCATGCTGGTGATCGGCGCGCTGTACGCCGCTGACGCCGTCCACGAGTCCACAGGCGCCGGCCGCTGGGTCGTCATCGTCGCCATCTATCTGTTTGCGGCCATCTACAGCGTCTCCTGGGCTGTCAGCTGCAAGGTCTACGCCGCCGAGATCCAGCCCCAGCGCACCCGCGCCTCGGCCACCTGTCTCGCGCACGGCGCCAACTGGATCTCAAACTTCTTTGTGGCCTTAATCACCCCCGTGCTCCTGGCGAAGAGTAGCTGCGCAGCGTACTTTTTGTTCGGGGGGTGTACACTCGTCACTGCGGCGGTTTGCTGGGTGTGGATGCCGGAAACGAAGGGGAAGTCGCTGGAGGAGGTGGAGCGGTCGTTTGTAAGGGGAAAGGAGGGTTGAGCGGGGATTCATTTGATTTAGAATGAATCTGGAATGTGATGCTGGTTGTACTACTGTGTCGATTGTTATCGGATCAGCCCCTTTAAGAACCCAGTTCTTCTCGGCGGGCATGGTACATAGTATTCGAAGAAGAATCAGAGATAACTGCTTACAGAGCTCAGATGGTCAGGCAAATTCATCTGGCATGGAAACAATCCACAGGACAATTTTGCAAATGTATTCCCATAATCCTCTTCCCTATCCACTCCCCTAGTTAGCTGTGTGGATGCAAACAAGCATATTTCCGCAACTGAATGCCCCTCCCCGTTGCCTCCTCTACATGCGTTCCCATGTCGATCAGACGAGGAATAATACAGAGAGGTTTGTATCTGAGTTCTCGGGTCAAGTTGACAGGGGTCAAGTTATTTGACATGACGACATCGAATGACAAACAGATGTATGGTCAGATCATCTCTGTATACTGGAATGAATCTTTAGTTCAGCTCTCATAGTGCCCCTGGTGTCGACTAGTAATATCGATAAGCCATCAGTCGCCATCGTAAAATCTATCGCCGTCCATGGCTCTAAATTTACTGTACAGCCCCTCGTTTGCTAACCTTCACATCCACACGGAACTCCTGCCACACATGACAACAATGCGCATCGCGATCCCAGTCAAACTTCGGGCCCGCCAGCTGAAAATCGTAGCTCAGCAACAGCTTTGCGATAGTCAGACGCAACACCCGCAGTCCCATGATCTTGCCCGGGCACGCATGGGTGCCCACCGAGAATGCCGAGAAAGCAGCCAGATCCGACTTGGGGGTCGGAGCAAGCCACCGTTCAGGGTTCCACCGATCGGGACTTTTGAAGTACCTTGCAGATCGGTGGATCGAATACTTATCGACGAAGACTTTGGCCTGCGCGCACAGCATTAGTAGCAATCATGGACAGTTGTAATCCCGATGCTAGACTCACCCCTTTGGGCACGTAGACGCCATCTACCTCTATGCCGGTGGAGATTCGGGCGCCCACGTCGTTCACTGGTGGCTGTAGTCGGAGACTTTCTTGGATACAGGCATTCAGATAAGCGATCTGGGACAGATTATCATCTGTGCAAACCTCTTCGCTGGAGATGGTGGTGCGGAGCTCGTGCTGGATTTTGGCGAGCGCTTTCGGGTGTTGTAGTAGATAGTAGAAGACGGCGGATGCGGCGGCTGAAACGGGGTCATATCCGCCGATTCTGTTATAAATCATTGTCAGCTTCATAGCATAGCAAGATTCGAATGGGAAGTCCGAGATATCCTCACACAAGAAGGCTGATATGCGCCATTGCGCGTTTCAACTCTGGCTTTCCGTCGGCCCCGTCCATGATCCCCAGCTTCTGCGCGACGATGCTTTCCCTGAACTCCTTGCGGTTGGTGAGTCTGCCAGACATATAGAACAATTAGACATGCCATATTTTCAGTCTAGAGTACCTGGAAGAAAACCTACTCCTGAATCCGACTAAACGTGTTCACCTGAACCCAATCCGTCGTCATAAGATGTCGAATCGCCCTCAGCAGAACCGCCGCGACAGCCGATGCCCCCGGCAAACGACCAATGTAAAACATCAGGTCCAAACCAGCAGTGTACACGTTGTCCCACCGCCGAAAATATTCGAATGTCTCTTTCGTGCTGGTGGGGATGGAATGACCGAGGAAGAAGTGTCCCATGCACTGCCAGATCAGCCGGTCCATCCCAGTCGTCAGATTGTATTGCTTCCCTTCGCGGGCTGCGATGTCCAGCTCCTCCTCCAACTCTGCCAAATAGGTCCGGTGAATCTGCTCCTGGCTTTGTGCGGGATAGGTTGCCAGAATCCCCTTGACTTGCGACCGCACACTGCGATGGTCCGTCCGCGTGGTGGCCGACTGAGCGGTGGTGTCTCCGATCACGACGTCGATTGCGAAACTGACGTTGTTCTGCGTGGGGGTGAAGCCTTTGGTGTACTCGTCCTTGTATATCTCGTCACGCGCTCGGGGGCTTGCGAAGGACAATTCGTTCGGGGAGATTCGGACGACCGGGCCTTTGTGGCGTCAGGTAAACGGTTCTGAGGAATAGGTGATTTGTAGCGTACCATATTTCTCATGCAAGTCTCGTAGCTTGGGGAGAAGTCTCCCTGAGTAGCGCGCGTGCATTGCCCATAGCTTTGGTCAAGGTTAGATTGGTTATGGAATGATTGGAGGCAAGCTGCGAACCGGAGACGCTGCTGCAATTGCCGGGCCCGGAAACTTGGCCAGAGGGTGGAAATATCGATCGTAAATCACAGTCGCGGCTAGAACCGCCACACCAATCTGGATACAATTACCGTCAGATTGCGTCTATCAGTAAAGATGACCGGTACTGACCAGAAGAATCAACATCATGTTGTCCGTTCATTGACCACCGTCGCTAGGTGGGCTGACGGCTGGCTTCAACCAACTAATATGACGAGCTCGCGACTGAGGTGAAAAAAGTCAAGTTTCGCGGCATCGAGTTGGGAATTACGAGACTTATGATAGATGCGATAGTGTGTGTAAGGTCTTGCAGGCATTTCAATCACATCATGTCTAGTGATTGGGACCGAATCGCCGGGTGTCGATCATGAGGGGATTGGGCAAGCCGGCTAGGGCTTATCATGTTTGGATCACCTCATCAGTCCCGCGAATACGATATCACCCGCACTATCCTCTTTCTGTCTGAAGCAATTCTGTTTTCACACCGATCATTGGTCATATCTGACTCCACTCGGGCATGGATGCTGTCACGATCGATTCTATATCCACTTTAAATGGTGGTGAGGATTTCCAATCTAGGGTTACCTCAAAGCCCATTGGTCCTTCTTTCGCGCCGCATGGGGCAAACCGATGTGATGAGAATATCAGATTATCCTGGATCCATATATGCATGTAGCTGGAATCAGAGCCGATCATGGATAGGTCCATTCTTGCTCAATTGCGCGTGATCAATGACACCTCTGCGCACGAGGAGGGATAAAGTCCGGTATATTCCACCCTATTTGATAATCCTGCTCACCGAACATTTTCTCTATGCTTGCCGGTTACTACTTGAGCCTTGAAAAGCAAACATGCGCGCAAAAATCCTTGCGGCCAAATCAGCCTTACCAGGTTCAAGCCCTGAGCCAACGGTTCGCGCCGCACGCGATGCTCTTGACAAAGCAACCCAGTACTCGATAGAGCAAATGAAAGAAGACAACCATTGGTGTGGCGAGCTACGGTCCAATGCAACCATCACAGCCGAATATGTTTTCCTGCGACTGTCCCTAGGTCTCGACCTCACCCAAGAAGCAAGGCCCCTAATTCAATGGCTACTCTCGCAGCAGAACTCAGACGGCTCCTGGGGAATTGCGCCCCACTATCCCGGTGACATTTCGACCTCGACCGAGGCGTACTTCGCTCTCAAAATCCTCCAGGTTCCACCAGAACACCCGGCGATGCGCAAAGCCTGTGAATATATTCGGAGTGTTGGGGGCGTGGCCAAAGTCCGCATATTCACTCGGTTCTACCTGGCAATGTTCGGGCTGTTCCCCTGGGACGCGGTACCGGAACTGCCGGCGGAGCTCATCTTCATGCCGGCCTGGGCCCCGATCAACATCTACAAATTTGCCTCGTGGGCGCGCAGCACGATCGTACCCTTGTTGATTGTGTCGCATCATCGCCCGATCTACCCTCTTCCTCCGGGTAGTGCAGCGAACGGTACATATTTGGATGAGCTATGGCTCGACCCTGGGAATAAATCGGTACCTTACCAACGGCCTGCGAGTACCAGTGGACTGAACTTACTGGTACCAATGTTCCTAGTTATTGATCGTGTCCTACATTTTCTGAATGGACTTCGACTTTTTCCTACTAGACGTTACAGTCGTCGCAGCTGTATCACTTGGATCCTCGACCATCAAGAAGACTCCGGCGACTGGGCCGGCATCTTCCCGCCTATGCATCTCGGCTTGCTGGCACTTACATTGGAAGGCTTCCAGCTCACTGATGCTCCCGTTGTCAAGGCCTTGGAATCTGTTGAGAGGTTCGCATGGGATGACCAACAAGGCCGGCGCATGCAGGCCTGCGTCTCCCCAACATGGGATACGATCCTCATGTCCATTGCCTTATGTGATGCCTCCCACCCCAAGGACAGCAAAAGACTACATCGCGCCATCAACTGGATTCAGAATCGTCAGCTCACGCAGCCCTACGGCGACTGGCAGGTCTACAGCCTCAAGGCCATCCCCGGAGGGTTCAGCTTCGAGTATTTCAACACCTGGTACCCCGACGTCGACGACACTGCGGCCGCGATTATCGCCTTCCTCAAGCACGGAACCGACCTCACGCACCACAACGTCATTCGCGGGGTGCTCTGGATTCTGGGCATGCAGAACAAAGACGGCGGTTGGGGCGCGTTCGACATCAACAACGATGCGCTCTTCCTGAACAAGATCCCATTCAGTGACATGGACAGTCTGTGCGATCCGTCATCGGCAGATGTCACGGGACGTGTGCTGGAAGCGTTTGGTCTCCTGTTTCGGAGCCCGGTTGCTCAATACGCGGGCTCAGACCTGCTGTCGCAGATGCGCGCTGCATCCGATCGTGCCATCGAGTATCTTGCGCAAACTCAGGAGCCGGATGGATCGTGGTACGGCCGCTGGGGATGCAACTACATCTACGGCACGAGTAATGTCCTCTGTGGTCTGGCGTATTTTACCAAGCACAGCAATCGCATCCCCGACTTGACATCGCGGGCCGTGCAATGGGTCCTGTCGATTCAAAATTCAGACGGGGGCTGGGGCGAAAGCCTGCAGACCTATCGATCGGGCAGTCGGGTTGGATTCGACCATGCCTCCACCGCGTCGCAGACGGGATGGGCTGTGATGGCATTGCTGCCCTATCTGGCTCCGAGTGCTCCCGCTATCGAGCGAGGTGTTGGCTACCTCATTCAGACGCAATCCAAGCAGGAAGGCAGTGGGAAAGGAGCCTCGTGGGAGGAGAGCCAGTATACTGGAACAGGATTTCCGAACTTTTTCTATCTTGGATATGCGCTCTATGCACATTACTTTCCGATGATGGCGCTGGGCAGGTATGTGCAGTTGGCGGGGACTCGTACTATTGAAGTCTTGTAGAAGAAGGAGATCTTTTGATTGGCCTTGCTCTTATGATGATGATGTGATGATTGGTTCTGTTTCGGTCTGGAGAGGCAGTTTCTCGTTGTGCCTCGAGATGACGATTTGTATAATGCAATTCATGGTCTGATATCGCTGAGTCAAGACACTTACGCCTTAATGTCGTGGGCTGGAGGTGTCAGATGATACCCACCCAATAGCTTCATTTTCTCTACGCTCTATTCCTCCCTCACAACACATTCTACGAAGATTCAAGTCCTCATCTTTCCTGCAGCCCTCGGAGTCAGAATTCCTCTCCAAGCTTTTCACTACCTTCAACCTCAAGTCTCATGCACAGATCTATCCGCGAATCCACGATGAGACTGGAACTCCTCCCTACGGAGATCATGGATCAAGTAAGCCCGTTAATCTTCATGTCCCGAGATTGTAACCGAATCATTGCGTCTAGATCCTCTCCTTCGTAGTGCAGTTCTTCTTGCCGAAGCCTCCTAAAAGCATGCCCTGCCTGGACAGAGGCAATCCAAAACGTGTTCTCGAAACAACTACTTCAGCCAGGCGACAGCTGGCCGTATTACGTCTTGCCGGTCGTGTCTTCTATCGCAGTGCCTCAGCCTTACTCTTCCAGGCCTTTATCGTAGAATGTCATTGTTCATATTCTCTGGAGCGCCTTGGCCGTCTATCACACAGCCCCTATGCTGCTTGTGTTCGTTACCTCAGGTTCGAATTTGATTACCTAGCATATTATAGACAAGCTAGCCCTTCTGCCCTCAACGACAACAGTCGATATATTCAACAGCTACAGTGGACCATCAACGATTGTCTTTCCCGGTTTCAAGGCCTGCAAGAGATCGTGTTCGACGAGCCTAATACCGACCTTTCACCAGTGTATATAGAACGTTATCTTGACACAGTCGCCGGGACCTTGCGCGACGCCGAGCTCCCCAATTTGTCCAGGCTTCACCTCCGCCCTGGAGGCTGTTCAGGATACACTCCGATTGATTTCTTTCACCGAAGTTCACCTGCGCTCGGGAACCTGGGCCACGGTCCTGACCAGGATGTGCTTCCTCGCGTCCCTGCTTCAATTGTACCTTAGAAGTAACGGGTATTCGTGGAATGGGACGCTTGTCGGCTTGCGTGAGGAAAGCGAGTTGGAGACCCGGTCACCTTACGACCGGCCTGCGCTGGGGCTACTCTATCGTCACATCAGCAGCAAGCGAGTCACCGCGGGTCTGCGGCCGTTGATGGCCACGCCCATGGAGCATTACCCTAGTATTCATACAGAGTTGTTGACGCGTGTTAGGCGGTATACTTGAGTAGGAATAGGTTAGCGTATGATGAAATCGTAAAGCCCACCTCTGCTCTGTCTCTTGCAGTCTGTGTTTGCTTTGTAAAGGTAACGAGTCAATCAAAGCCGATGACGTGCTATACGGCGCCAGGTAGTGATATTGTAATGATATCATCCTGAGGTCTTGCGGGGGAGTGATGACATTTCTAGGATACATCGCCAAGGTTGTCCGAGAAGCTTCAGAACTTCCTTTGAGGCTCTGTCGGTGAGCTCTCGGGGTTATGTGCCCCCGAATATTCCCACTGGCAAGGTGTCGTGAAATTTGCCATCCTGCCCGCGCCTCTCATATCAGACTTGGGGGTGCACTCGATTCAGCCTGTAGTATCATATAAAATGTCATTCGTCTTCATTGTGCTATTTCTTCCTTGATCCCTTGGTCATACGCTCTCCCATAGCAGAGGATACCTTATTGTCAGTCACTTTATAATCTCTTAGCGTTTCTGCATGTGGGCAAAGGTCTTGGCCGGCGACGCCGGTCTTCATCAGGTGTCACAACTACCATTTTCTTTTATATCTGGGCTCGTCTTGACGGGACGAAAGTATTCCCAGACTGAAGTCGTCGCTGTTGCTGCTCACTGCGAGCCTCCTCCTATTGATTAGCACTTTTTCGGTCACTTTTTAACTTCTCCATTCCAGATATAGCCAAGGATCATGGTCTCGCTGCTAGCGTCGTATACAAAAGTTCTCTGTAGCAATCAAGCTTCTGGAATCACCGAAAGGACACGTATTGTCGAAGCAAGAAGAGGCCTTTCGCTGCCTCACTCCCTGCGGGGTCAGCCAGGCTGTCATCACGTTATCTCGTTCATCTCAGCTGGGCTGGCATCATCTTGATATAAAGATCATCTCGCCACATGACTGACAGAGATTTTCCTGCAAGTTTGCGATTACGTATGCGGAACTGAACGTTCTTATTGTCTCCTATTCATGAGCCTAGGTGGCTGCCTAATTTCTATTGACAAGTTCAGCTGGTATAGCTTCATGTTCTCCACTTTGGGGTTTGCATGTGATCCTGCGCCGGTGACATGTGGTGCAAGCTCGTGGCTCAGTCAGTGTAGGCCCTGAATACATTCATGATATCGCCCTTCTTCACATTGTTCATCACCAGGAGCCTTTGTAAGCGAGATGGAGGCAGTATCAAACATCTAAACAACTTCTCACCATCACTAACTCTTCTTCTCTTTCTTTCTTTCTTTCTTTCTTTCTTCCTTCCTTCTTCCTTCAACCATCTCTCTTCCATCATCAATTTCTGTTCTTGTCAAACGACAACGTGAGTTCATCATCCACCTATCATCAACTATCACCTTCATCATCCATCTAACGAAGAGTTCTTTATCACAGATAGAAGAAACTAATAGAACCACCGTCAAACCTTTCATCTCATCCATCGATATCGTATCTATCGCCACGATGACAACTCTATCCATCGGCCAGCCGCGCTCGGTGGCATCGAACAACGATGTTCATGGCGAGGATGCGAGGGGAGAACGAAACACCACAAACATCGACTGCTGTGTGTGTTTTGAGAAGTTCCAACAAAACGAGGTAACTCGTGTTGGATGCGAGCACACTTACTGTCACGACTGCATCAAGGAGCTGTTCGTTAGATCACTCCACGATCAGACCCTGTTCCCGCCGAAGTGCTGCAGTCAAGAGATCCAGCTGGCACTCGTCGAGGGCCTCTTGAACGAGGAGGAACTTGACAACTTTAACAACCGCCACATCGAACATACCACAGCCCACCGCGTTTACTGCGGCAATCGTGCGTGCGGCGCGTTCATTCGCACAGAACTGATCACTGGCGACAGGGCCCGTTGCACCGGGTGCCTGAACGTGACATGTACAATGTGTATGTCGCCCTACCACTTTGGTACCGACTGTCCCCAAGATCCGGCCATCCAGAATACGCTCGCGCTCGCGAACCAAGAAGGGTGGCAACGGTGTTACTCGTGCCGTACAGTCGTGCAGCTTGCTCGGGGCTGTAATCATATGACGTGAGTGCATCCCTGAGACTAATAACCCCTTGAAACTGCCCCCGGATAGACAGGTATGTTAACATCAAGTGTTCCGTGATAGGTGTCATTGTGGTGCACAGTTCTGTTACCGATGCGGCGCCAGGTGGCGAACCTGCGCCTGCGCTCACTGGGGGGATGGACACCCTTTCGCGGAGCCGGAGTGGGTGATGCCGCCGCCGCTCGCCCGCGATCATGGCCCTGGCCGTCGCGGGGGCAATCGCAATCACAACAACGCCGTGCGCGCAATCCGAGTTCCTCCCCGCCGGAATATCGAGGAGCACGTGCGCGAACTCGAGCAGCGGATGCAGGAATTGCGAGAGTTCCGCAACATCGCACAGCACATGCGCGGGTGCCTAGCACTGGGACACTTCCGCCGCCGACACGACAGGGGCGAACGCGGCTTCCAGTGTGAACTGTGCCATTCTAACCACAGGTGGTACATTCTGGAGTGCCTGCGGTGCGGACGCCAGATCTGCGAGCGATGCCGTCGCAATTGGAACTGAGCTTTTCGGACGATACGGGAACTGCAAAACATACCATACCAACCATAAGTTGTGGGTTTTCGAGTGTCGTCGGACTCGGAACTGATTGCGGAATATGTCATACTACCCATAGGTGGCATATTCTCAAGCGTTATCGCACTCGACTAGTTGCGGGACCTGGATGTTGTGGACGGAAAGTCTTGGAGGAAATGCGTGAATTCGAAGTTTTGGTGCATGAAGATTTGGACAAAGTCGTGGAGACAAAACGGGTCTTGGGCATTTGAACTTCGGTGCATTTGGATTTTGGACGGGGTTTGGAGGCAAATTGGGAGTTTGAATGTGTTTTTTGAATGTTGATATGTGCTTTGGATGTTGATATGTGGTATCATGATTTGGACATGACGTTATGAAGCTGACGAATGTATCTATCGCATGTTCTACCTTGCCCAATATCACTGGAATATGGGTTGTGACATCAGCCTATCTGTCAGGATTCATAGAGGTAGTGCGTAAAGCTTTTGGGCGGGGGGTAGAGGAGTTAGTACGTTGGTCCCTTCTATTAGGGCTATTCGCTGGTTTGCGCTCTTGGACAACGGTGAGCTTGCAACACCATTAGGATGTACTGAAAGCGATGAATTACCCAACAGGGCATATGCATATCGCGTTCGGCAACTCTTAAACCTATCAAAGAATGTCAGCATCAACAGGCCCTTGAATCCCGACTCAAATCTCATAAGGCAGTCGAGTGAGGAGAATATTCGATGAAGCCGGGCTTAGGGTGGGCTGGTGCTAACCCTAACTCCGGTTCTATTCGGGGTAGTCTCACCCAGCCTCAGACGACAAACGCACCGCTTTCATCAATTATGGATGTTTTCACCATGATATGGCCGTCATATAGATGACATGGCCCAAGCCTATAGCACTATGTGCCCATCACGAGCCTAAAACATCACTCTTAACCAACTCCATTGAATCCGCTGCCTCGAGTTGGAGGAGCTGAACGATCGCATGGTGTAGGCACGCTCCTATGCACCAGAAAGAGCATTCTGATTGCGAGTATTGCCGGCCTCACGGTCAATATCCGGCCCGTTCAACAAGTACTGGGCTGTGGACAGGTCGCCAGAAGCCGCTGCCGCTGCGATCATCAAAGGCTTGCGCCCGCACCGCTCTCTAGCATTCTGATCCGCACTTTGCAAGCAGCAAAACGCGATGGCAGCCTCATGGGCGCAAGCAACGACCGAGACAAGGGTCGCCGACCAAGTCAATCCGCACAATCCAAGTGCCGCCACTGTTGAAAAGGAGCTTAAAAACACGGTATGCTCTCTGGACAGAGATTTTAAGATGGATACTGCCGCCGTGAAGGCTAGGATTGGTACCACTTTCTCGCAAAAGCCTCACAACGCGCTCATGGCCCCGTGACATGGTGGCAATGAGCAGGCAGCGATGAGTAGAAGAACAAGATACTGATCCTGTCCAGCAGTGAACTTGACAATACCTCCTGCTCACAGCAGGCTCCATGTAACAACGAATGGTACCTGCCATTGCTGATATTTGAGTCGGCATCACTTGACCAGGAAAGCCAGACCACCCTCTCATCGACGCGCCCTACGGCGCCAAAAGATGCAGATATGGTATATGCTCATGCACTGGTCTAGCGCCATGCTCCATTAGTAGTCTAACGACGTCTGCAAGCCGCGAGAGTCAAAGGATGAAACAGTGTTGTACGGTTAAGCTGGATGTTCCCATTTCTAATCCGACAACGTCAGTAACGCTTGAAGCGCGTGTCACACCAGCCTTGATCGGCATTTCTAACCGTAAGATATGTCAAGCACAAGAATGGGGCACTATATTCTCCTTTGAAGATGTGCGACGAACGTGAGCGGTCGACGGTGTCGTAGGCCGTGGTATGCACCACCAGCCGAATCACCTCGTTCTCCCTGTCTACATTGGTGATCGTCATGCAGCATGAGAGCAGCTTCTCACGCGCTGCACAGCCCCCTCCCCCCGTCAACTTTGGTTCTGGTCGGCTGTCGACGTTCCTGAGTAATACAGCCACGTGATGCAGGCGGTTCACCAGGCTGCTTCACATGTCGGTGTCGTCGCTAGTTCAACCAACCAACTAGCCACCAAAAATACAAGATATCATTCCATATCGCCCATTCCTGAGCTTCGTCAAATCGATTATAGCGGCCTTATGGCCATATCATATTGTCTCAAAAAACGGCGCGATGTCCTCATCACTGGGTTTTATACCCACCAACAGTTCCCTCGGCTCGAGACAGAAGATATTTGTCGGACGGGTCAAAAAAAGATCGGACGTCGTGCGCGAATTGCACAGTTGATATCATCTTCTGCGGGGCCTAACCCCGGAGAGCTGTCTCAGTCTCGCTGCGCGCCCGAGCATGTTCGATCCGGATAGTACTCAAAATCGTCTCCCCTTCGCCTGGCTTGTTGATGCGGTAGAGAATGCGCCGTGGTGTTGCGCGCTGCTTCGGGACGCTGGCGCCTTGGATGGAATCCCATCTCTTCGATATGGGACAGGGTAAATCGTGCCTGGCTGCTGAGACGACGCGAGGGATTTAAATACCTGGTTGAACTTCGTCATTTGCGCCGGGAATTGATCCAGCGTCCTGGCTATGTCCTAGAAAGATCCCACACATTACACCCTGTCACAAACACAATGGTGGTCTCTTGTCCATTGATCGCTTACCGGCATCAGTTCCACCGCCGTGGGCTCCCGGGTCAGCTCCGGCACGAAAGTCAATAACTCTTTGGCGTAGCCTGCAGCCACGATGGAAGCGTAACCATGCCATCGGTCCGATTTGTGGGTGTCGGCATAGTCACTGATCCCGCGGATCACCAGGCAGGGGAAATTATCCATCAGCCCGGCAGCTTCCATCTCCAGACAGATGATGTTCTTGGCTGTGCGGAGGTAGTCGCGAGTCGGGCCGTGGAGCATGACGCGGTCCGCGGAGCCGATGAGCCCATAGTGAATGACGGGCTCCTCGCTGTCCCGCGCTGGCCGCTGCATCAAGTAACGTGCGTCACATCGGCTGCAGTTCTTTGTACCAGCAGGATGCTCGTACTGGGCCTGGTACAGACGGTCTTCCGCGTCTGGACGTCGGTATTTGACAGCCATTTTGGGCCGATCCTGCAGAATCTTCCCGATTAGTTCCGGGATGCCGCTTTCCTGTATATCATGTTGTGCCTGGACTCTCTGAACTGCTTTCAAGAGGATAGTCGGTGGCTTTCCCAGCGATCCGGTCTGGACAAATTGGCCTTCGTGGACGATCTTTCCATGGTCGTACTGGACAACCCCTCCTGCCGGAATGTGTGAGCCGTTGCCACGAAGCGAGGGGGGGTCATCGATGAGCTAAAGAGAAAATTAAAACGGCAGCTTACCAGACTCGCCATGGGGAACTGAAACCACTACATCTCCGAGGCGGATATCATCGGCTGAGTCCTCAGCGGTTTTGGCTGGGATTCCGCCACCGATGCCCACCATCAGGCCGAAGCGGATTTTCGGGAAGCTGCGCAGGAGGTTGGTCGCCGTCGTACTTGCAGGTACCTTACCGGGCATCCCAGCACCGAGTGATGCAATGACGACCTTGTGCCGTCCCATGCGTCCGTAAGAATAGACGTTGGAATCGTTGAGGTCCTGCTGGAAAGCCGCAGGTGGCGCGTACGTTTCATCCAGCATCGCTGCTGCTGCCGCCAATTCGGGAGCCAGGGCACAAATCCAGCCCACCGTGTAATCTTCTCTGCTAAAGTCCTCAGTCACGCGATTGCGCTCCATGTATGACGGCCCCAGAGCCCTGCGTCGGTCCCTGAGTGCCATTCTGGAAAGACAAGGTCTAGCAAAATGATCCTCGAGAGAGCAAGAACAGAAGGAGGAAACAAGAAACGTGACAGAACTTGAGATGAATAAAGAAGTCGCTAAGCAGTCGTTGATCACGAGGAAGTGTGTGCCGCAAGCTCGCTTCGTGAAGATACTGAGTTAGGAACTGTTTGTGCTCCTGTCGCTCATTGTTAGCCTGAGAGGCTCGGGTCTTTATACACACACACACACACACACACACACTTTCGAATTGAGGGCCATGATGACGGTAAGCACAAAGTCGACTGTCTGCCCAAAAGAGCTGAAACACACACTCTGTTTGTCTCTCGAGAAAGGGAGAGATTACTCTGCCTGCGATAGGTAGTGAGAGAGTGTGTGAGATAGACAAAGTGAGGCGACGATTCACTCAGCCTTCCGGGATGGCCGTATCGACGACTCATGGTAATTTAAACCCCCACCACACTTCGCTAACGGGGTTTTGGTTTGTGATTGGCCGCTGCATTGATTCCAACACCTCCTGCGACACCTCAATTTGCCAGCAATTAACATCATTACCGAGCATAGCTCTGGCAGCTGGTCACAAGAGATCTGAAGGCGTAGTATGAGTCTACTCCAAGACTCAACAACTGGAAGCGATGTGTTATTTGCTCTGGCTCCTGCCACTCACAGTGATTCCTGCTCCGAACTTAGAGATCCTACAAAATCGGTCATGAGATAAGATCTGCTTGCTTCCAAGGCAGTTACAGAGGCCGAATTTGATGTCTGACATAGCATTATGGTAAGAGGATCGATTCCTGCCTAGCGCGCGGTGATGCGAGGGGTCCGCAGCATTGTTTCAGGAATGGCGGTCAAGAACCGGCCGGACAGAGGGTGGATAGGTTAATAGAGCGAAATGTGAAGAAGAGGATTATTATGGATGGGTAACAAAAAGGAAACAAAGAGAAAAGAAGAGCCCATAATGAGGCCGGGAGTGGAAAGCGCCCGGATCGCTTCGTTAGGTTGCTGCCGGGCAGTGGCTATGCAGGCACAGTCCAACGTTTTAATTGACTTTGCAGTACATGACAGGACATATCCGGCGCGACAGATGAAGCATAGCTGTAGGTACAGGACAGTACAGGACAGTACAGTACAGTACAGGACATTACTTCCCAACGTAGGTCTTTGGGCAGTTGGCGGGCATCTTGTAATATCAACATGGATCAGGAAGTTATCCTTGGAATTTCCTTACCATGCGCCCCAGCCGCATCGAATTTTTGTACATTACCAAATACAAAGTCACCACGTGGTCGACGTGGAGTGGTAATTGAGGTAATGAGCTGGCTGAGTCTAGCTAGGTAACCTTATCAGCCAACTGCACCATAAGATACGTACTGTACTGCATATTCGATAGGTCAGCTGCTCCTGTTGGAACGTTTAGCCTTCCTCCATGCGCGCGCTCCACTCTTTGAACCCAGAACTGCACCTAAGAAACTTCGAAGTCGGATGAACTAGTGTTCTTTCTATATACCTTTGAGCTTTGGGGTGTTGCCTCTTGCGTCTATACAGTTCAGCCCTGCAGCTTGTAAGTCTCGTGATGTTTTAATGCCGGCGTCACCGAGCCTGACTGTGAATCAGGGGGAAATTTTCCTCGGTGGTGGATGACGCCGAAAGTCGTTGTTTGGTCCAGTTTCATCAGTACGGTTTTAACCAGTCATTGAAGATGATCTGCTCGAACCACTGGCTCAGCTCCTACATCTCTTGTCCGTCTACATTGAACATGCTGTGACTAACAGAAGCAAGTGCACGATACTATCCTGCTGCCGCTTGTTACATCCAGGAGCGAGCGGGGTAATTCGGAATCTCGCGCGGCCCGGCCCGGGGGGAAGCTTGGCTACATTTCTTCTTCTAGTCGGATAATCTTCGAATTCTTTTTGCATATATTCGCATCATGATGATTATCCCACTTTCCAACCTGAGATGCGGTCGCATCGGCTTACCCAGATCCAGCAACCCGCTCGATCTCATCCCGTGACTCAGATTCACTCATAAGCAGCAATCGCACTGGCGAAGGCAGCATCGACCGTCGCAATGGCCGAGGCAATAGTCGTCTTGTCGGTCGAGGTGACCTTGGCCTCCAAGTCCGCACCAAGCTGGTCGGTCTCGGTCTTGAGGGTCTGAACCGACGTGAGCAGGGTGGAGGAGACGCCAGCAGAGGCGGCGGTGGATTCCTGCATCTTCAATCAGTCTCGCCGCGCACTTGATGACAGGTGCAATGGTCTTACCTTGGCAATAATCTCGTCCAGGGTCGCGACGATGAGCACGGCCAGAGTGGACACCTCGGACGTGATGCTCGAGCTGTCCGCGGTGCTGAAAGTCGAGGCAGCCACCGTGTCGGTGATGGCGGTGTCCAGGGCACTCTTGACGTTGTTGTAGTCAGTCAGAATACCCAGGGCAGCCAACAGGTCGCCGGTCCAGGCGGTCACGTCGGTTTTGAGGGTCGACACATCGGTGTAGATCGTCTTCAGGTCCGTCAAGACCGTCGCCGCATCGCGTCGGGCAATGGGGCCTGCCTGGGCGAGGGCACCCAACGCAGCAACAAGGAGAGATTTGCAGAGCATAGTGGAACAGAAATTAGCTGGATGAGAAGACTGGCTTGTTGGGGCTGCTGATTTCCGTGATGTTCTTGTGGGATGTCGATTTCGTGGGAATCGATCGCGTTTAAATATCCCTAGATGGTGGAGCATGCGCTCTCTCTGGTCGTCTCATTGCGAGGGGAAGTCGACCGCTAACACAGAATAGCCACGGAGAATGAAGTCGCCATTCCAGCCTGCAATGCTTCATTCTCTGCAATAGCGCCGCAGGTTGATGCAACCCCCTCATTAATCTATTCTTTCGCTTTTTTGCCAACGCTTTTTTCACGTGTTGATGGTGAGGGCCGAGGAACCATGCAAAATGACCTTGGGAACGCAAACAACGCAGTCAGCAACATGTACCTGCCTTCTGCGGGCTTGTTTGATTGGAGTCTTCTTGGGACCTTCTTGCGGGCTATTCGAGAGACTTCGGCTTGGCCTTAGGGCATGTCCTCTCGAGGTCGTTCCTCAAGTCAACATTAACAAGTGTGTCTTTCGTGAGCAGACAGTCTTCTGCTGCGATGTCGTATGCAACACCAACAGCCGCTTTGCTCTGGAGAGTATCTTTACTCCATGAGCCTAGCCTAGATCCGACCGAGGTCGAAGTATAGCCAGGTCGACCTGGCTGCAGAAACTTGTGATTCCAAGGAGCCAATTCTGCACTGCTGCCTTTCCACCAGGCGGATGGCAGGTGACCCAGTGTGGTTCTAGGCTGAGCTGAGAAGGTAATATCTCCGCTACCCCGGATATTGTATAGGCCTGGTAGAAAAGCAGTCCCTGATCGACGCCGAGTGGATGACCCCGCTCGAACGCTCGGATATTAATCTAGACTCCGCACCACCAGCCGCCCTCCACTCTATGCGTAGGTGACCATTGGATCCAATTCGTTTGTGGCGTCGGAATGCTCCAGAATGCACCATTGGCCCACAGACCAAGCATCGTGTCGATCTCTTGCAGAGACGGAGTAGATTGGTGGCTAAACTGGGGGGGGGGGGAAGTAGCAGACACAGTTTGCAGCCGGGCGGGAAGGTGAAATACTTCGACCTGCGGAGAGAACCGGCCATGGTTTGAAGTAACAACACCTTTACATTAGGCTATTTGGCACTTGCTGCTAAAGCCAACCGTGGCTCTGATTGCGTGATGGCTGGGGAAGGGGGGTGGGGGGTGGGTGTTCCTAGCTGGAACAAGAAGCCATGGGCGCGGCGGCGGCTGTGCCATGGGAAGGTAAAGAGAAAACCAAAAAGAAAAAGGGAGTGCATCATCCGTGAATCGAACACGGGCCTCATCGATGGCAACGATGAATTCTACCACTAGACCAATGATGCTTCTGTGATATAATTTCCGTTTAATTTGCACCATGGCCTTTTACTCCTTAACTACAATCACCAACCCTCCCTTCCTTGATCCACCATGAACAAACATTAAAGCCTTTAGCCACAATCTCATCAAGTTGCCAAATTCCCATTCTTCCATCAATATGATGACGCTGTCCTCGTTTGTAAAAGGTCGGATTGACTCAAGACTCAAGAATAGACGTCATTACGCTTTCTGGTACCCAGCACACACAAGCTACGTAGCCGTGGTATATCACTGCCGATATATCCTTGCACCGTTGTCCTCATCCCCAGCATCGACAAGACTTTTTGTCCTAGCGACGCCCTATCGCGGCTCCATAGAACCCACTTCATCTATCCTCAAGGTTCACGCAGACCAACAAATCACAATACAACTCCCAGTCAAGCAACATCCCGTGTCCAGGGTGCCGTCCACCACTCATAGCAAAAGCAACCAGAAAATCCACCTCATCTCGGTCATGAATCAGACTGCCACCCCCTCGAATACGAAAGCTGGCGATGCCACGTCCAATGCGAGTCGGACAGGCATTGGCCACCGCGTAGGGATCGTCCCGCGCTGCAGTCGTCGCCCTTGACATCATCGCCACTAACGATTGCTTATCTGCCCGCCAATGCTGTCATCCCACCGAACCCTTGCTGCTGGAGAAGAGTATACTCGCACAAAACCGCGAGGATACCCTTCCACCGCACTTTGCGATCGGCACTCTAAGCCTCCTCACAATCAAGAACAAGTGAGGTGTTTAGCGCCACTGACGTACGCCCCGTCATGGTATTTCAGCATGGAGTTGGGGATATATACGCCTGTCTCAACCCCAGCCTTCCCATTCTCCACTACACTATCCAGATCCACTTCAGCAAGCTTATACTCTATTCTCTTGACACTCAGCCTCCAAGCACCCAACGCCTAGCGTTTACTACCTACCTAGCACTCAGATTTGAGACAACAAAACCAACCAACATGCCTCTCTTCCACCGCAACTCGCTCTCCAGCTCGTCCGACCGCAGCATCGACGACCCCAACACCCACAACTACTCGCACCGCTCCCATCGCTCGCACCACTCCACTTCCCCACGCTCCAGCCTCTCCTCTTCCTCCTCCTCCTCCCGCCGTCGCAGCAGTAGCCACAGCTACGGCCACCACAGCCACAGCGGAAGCACCCACGGCCACTCGCGCTTCAGCTTCGGCAGCCGTCGCCACCAGGAGGACCCCTCCGTCCTCGCCGCCAAAGAGCAGGTCTCGCGCGCTGAGGCCGCCGAGCGTGAAGCCGACCGCGCCCTCCTGGCTTCCCGCCGGGCCGTGCAAGATGCCCGCGAGCATGTGAGGCGTCTGGACGAGGAGGCGCGCATCGAGTATGTTCTTCCCGTCCATTCCCTGCACATTCCCTCACCTTTCTGTCGTGGCTCTCTTGAAACTAACGAGTTCGTGATGCAGAGCCCGCGCCGCCAAGATGAAACAGGACCAGGTCAAGTCGATTACGAAACGGGCCAAGCCGCTGGGACGTAAGTGATTCGTTGCCGTGCTGTATACCTGGCTTGGGGGTTTGAGGTTGGTGCTGATGGACCGTGTGTGTGTGTGGTTTAGGGCATGTTTGAGGGGAGTGAGTGCTCGATGCGCTCCGGATGCTTGATGTACTGTACTATTATTGTCGATTTCCTTCTTAGCGTAGTGGGCTTGGGCTTTTGAGCGATGATTCTTGGTTTAGCGATGTGACGTGGACTGTACGATATGAGAGTGTACGATATGAAATGATATGCATAGAGGGTGGCAATTTATGATTCGTTGATGTGCGTGTGCAACGTCACTTGCGCCGATCTGGTCGTATTTGTCTTATTAAGTCCGTTAGTCCTCTTGGCCAATACCATCCTCCGTCTACTGTCGACTCTCCTTGATGATGTCCGCCGCCTTCTCGGCCACCGCAAAAACAGTGGCCTGGATGTTTCCCCGTGGGATCAGAGGAATGACTCCCGCATCCACCACGCGCAGCTTGCGACACCCGTACACCCTCAGCTTGTCATCCACCACGCCCCCGATCTCCTGCGGCAGCATGGCTGTGGTCCCGACCACATGGTAGTGGGCCACAATGCGGTCCCGCGTCAGCCTCCGCGCCGTCTCCAAATCGCTCACCCGCTCCGGATGGTGCAGTCGCCGACCGTCGGGTTTCAGCAGCGAAGCCATCGGCTCCGTCTCCGCCACGGTCTCCAGCCAGTGGACATGGCGTGCCTGCAGCTCGACGTCCAGCGGATGCGCCAGCAGCTGCGGGTCGAAGGTGGGGAGGGCGGTGGCGTCGGCGGAGGCGAGGTGGACGCTGCCGCGCGAGAAAGGCCGGTTGAGCACGGCCACGATGCTCACGAAACACTCTGGTTCCGTCATGGCGAAGATCCCCTTGGGGCTGGGACCCTTTTCGGGTGTGATTTGGAAGGGCGCGAGCGTGTACTGCCCCGTCGGTTCCTCGGGGTCCTCGAGCAGCCGCCGGAGGAGACGGTACTGCGCGGCCCGGTTGGGTGGTACCTCCTCATCGTCGAGATACTTGTCCAGCAGGGCCTGGAGCTCCCCGTCTTGCAGCCCCGGCAAGGTCAAGAATGCGGACGAGATGGGACACAGACCCAGCGGCCCTGCGCCCGAGGCTTGCCATGCTTGCATGGCGGCTTGAGCGATTTCCGGATTGCGCAGTGCTTCGCCGGTGATCTGCCCGTCAGCAACCTCCCAGCTAAAGGGAACGAACCCGTGCTCCTGCAGGTTCTCGCCGACGTTGGGGTTGTCGACGAGGGCCTCGATGCCATGCGTCTGGAGTAGGTCGGCATTGCCGATGCCTGACAGCTCGAGGAGGTGTGGTGTTTTGACGGCGCCGGCCGCGAGAATCACCTCGGCCCCAGCATGGACGGTCCGCCGCTCCCCGTCCTTCCCGACGAATTGTACCCCGGTCGCGTTGACCTCCCCGTGATCGGGCTTCTTGAGCAGAATCTTCTCCACGAGGGCCTCGGTGACGACGCGCAGATTCGGCCGTTGAGCGATCTCAGGATTGTAGTAAGCGACTCCGGCGTGGCTGCGCGCTCGCGAGGTCGCGTGGACCGTGCCGGGGTTGACAAAGGCTCCGCTGGCCTGGCCTGACATCGGATCGCCGGTGATGCAGTGGCTGAGCGTCTCGAATGTCCGAGGCCATGCCGAATTGAAGGTGGGGAATGGCCCCTCTCCGAACGAGACATGGATCGGCCCATCGGTGCCCTGAATCGCTGGATCGATATACCCAAGCGACAGCTGATCGCGGATCTCGTCCGACGGTGGGGTGAAGGTTTGCGATTTGCGTAGATAGCGCGACAGCGACTCCCAGTTCCATCCAGCATTGCCGAGCTGCTCCCACGTATCGATGTCGGAGCGACTGGGGTAGATGGCCATTCCTAAGTTTATGGCCGAGGAGCCACCCAAAGTGCGCCCCCGAGGCTCAGCGATGCATCGGCCATTGAGGGCTTCCTGGTTTTCACGCAGGGAGTGTCAGTGTGCATAAGACGGCGGCTTTTGAGATCTGATGGTTCTTTCCTACCTGCGGGGGACTGGTAAGACACCAGTCGAACTCGGGATCAAAATAGGTGCTGGCTGCTAGTCCAGGCACAGCGATTCGCGGGTCATCGACGCGATTACTTCCTGCCTCGAGCACCAGAGCGCTCACAGTGGGGTCTTCGGTCAGTCGGTTGGCGACGACCAGGCCGGCAGTTCCTCCGCCCACGACGAGATAGTCGTAGCTCTGGCGCAGATCCGAAAGCGAGGCAGTACCTGTGGTCATCCTGTCTTGGGCAATTGTTCGAGTCGAACTCGAAAGGAGGAGGATCGGGCGGCGTGTCCTGGGGTAGGGGGGACGAGTTTGTGGCCCAAGGATTTAAGTAGGGAGCATTCGTCCCTCTGCCCCGCAGCCTCGTTGCGGCCATGATAACGGAGCATGATATGAGTGGAGTCCTCACTGGAGCTTATAATCATTAGTAGGCAATGGGAAGAAAGAATCTCCCTCGGACAACTGCCGTGAGTGGCATTCAGACGAGGAAACTAATCACTCGCAGCCCCCTCCCAATAGGCAGTTCGAGTCAACTGCCAGCGATGAAGCAAAATTTCGGCATCTGCTAAGCATAATTTGGCTTGCACCAGTCCCACGTGTGATTCATGACCGGAAGAGGGGGATGGCAAGCCTCGCACTTGAAGGCGCCGTCTCTGCGCTGGACCGAGCGATGCACGGCCGATCCATCCCGCTTCGGTAACACCAGCCCTAGACTAAGTACCAGTTCGGTCTCGAAGGATTCAGAGTGGATAAAACAACACTGCTGGCTTGCTGGCCGGCTTCAATTGCCGGTTCTGTAGAGTATCTGCATTGCTTCCCATGCCGCGCGATCCTGCATTTCAGCATGTCTGGATCATATCTTCAAATGATAGGGCTCGAGTGCTTCACCTCCCTCTTTCCATCCAGCCGTGGTGATGCTTCTTCCCTAACCTCCTTTCAGGAGTTGCCGGCAAAGGCGTCGAGATGGTGATCGCTTATGAATCGCGTGATCCTGTCATTGTGGTCACTGTCTTCGGTGCTCTGGCCACTTTGACCACCGCGTTGCGCTTTTAAGCCCTGCGCTTGCGTCAAGTCGAGCCTGACTTGCCGGAGTACCTAATAATTGCAGCCCTGGTGTGTATCCCTGCTCACTCTGACAGAGTCAAGGCTAACGTCTCTGTTCTGCAGCCGGAGTTGGCAATCATTTGTGCGAACTTGCCGCTCCTCAAGTCCGTCCTATCGCGCATATTCCCGCGGATAGAAAGTATGAAGTTTCCGATGGCCAGACATTCGAGCGGTTACTAGAGCAGGGAGGGATCTATCCCCTGGATCGATTCGACCATGAACCCATCCAGACCAAGGTCAGCACTGGATCTGCTTGTCTCGACCACTCAGACCATCGACGGGGACCAGCAGGATTTGAAGACTCATGGGTCACCGCATGGGATCAACATCGTCCATGATATTGACATCGAGTATCGCCCAGCACGCAGGAGAGCATTCTAGCCAGCCACAGGCATGTACGCGGTGGAAAGCTCGCATGTCGTCAATATTTGCAACTGGCAATGTGCAGATTCAGTGCATCAATAGAATCTCTGCTCTGTTACAGAGGTCATCGACCGAGATTGACTGAACAGAGAGGACAGGTAGTTTCTGATGCTGTTCTCGAAGGAGTCGTGTAGGGCGGTGTGGAAGGGAGGAAAGGCGATAAGATAAGAACGGTCACATGACCCTCCACGGTCGGGGCTTCCCCAATTCTCCCCCGCATTTTCTCACCTAAACAAACCACATTCGCCCATCTTGCATCCATTTGTTCCTTCAACCCTTCCTCGATCATGCGTCATGAACAGTTCCTGCTACACGTGTCGTCGCAGGCATGTCGAATGCCAAATGTCTCAGCCCCCGTGTAAGAAGTGCCAGAAGGCTGGGCTTGAATGCCTCCAAAAGAGGCCCCTTCGCTGGGTCAAGGGCGCAACTTTCCGCGGCACTGCGAAGCCTTCCACATCCACAGGGAACGCCCCGCAACTCAAGCAGATATCCCCACCTCAGTCTGACTCTGAAATCACGGTTCTGAATGGGGTAGACCTGCGGCATACCGGAGCTGTGGAAAGTCTCCCCCCCCGCATACCTTTCAGCTTAGACGAACCCGTCACCCGAGGTCTGCACGAGGATTCTCGATACTACCTGAACTACTGTCAGTGTGCTGTTGATCAACATTCGGTCGCGAGGTGTGACTGACATCCACGACAGACAGCAAATGCGTATGCAAGCTGTTTGTCATGTTCGATAGCCAACGCAATCCCCTCAGACAGCTCATCCCCGCGGCAATCGCCCATCCCGTGCTGATGGCGTCCGTCAGCGCTCTCGCAGCACGACACCGAGCAAATGCTACTCAGACGTTCGAACAGGTCCAAGCAAGAGATTACTCACGGGCGCTGAAGCCTCGCTACAACGCTTCCTTATACAAATACCAGGCGATCAAAGGGCTTTCGCAGGCCCTGAGCGACGGAACAACTTCGGTCGATATCTTGATCATCAGCGCATTCTTGTTGATTCTTCTGGACCTATTCGAGTCGGGCAATGATAATTGGAATTTTCACGTTGAAGGGGTCAAAAAACTCATTGCGGGGATTCAGATTCCGGCGAGCTCGCGGGAGCTGGGAACAACCATTGAAGGGATGTGCGAATTCGCTATGCGACAGGTCTACTTGTACGATACTTCTCAACAGCCTCCCTTTCGTCTGATTGAGATAGGCTGACTTGTGGTATCATCGCAGAGTTGATACTCTAGGTACGACCTTCACGCGTCCTGGGTTGCTAGCCACCTCCGAATCCAATCAGCCATCCACGGCCCTCCAGATGAGCGTTGACAAGGCTTACCTTGGTTGTCCGGAATACTTCCTGAGTGCTCTTCGTTCTTTCTCGGCAGCTAGGGACTGCCTGGCGAGCCCCGGGTGCCTTGACACCATCGATGCGTATTCGCTGCTTCAAACTATCCAGGTCTCACTGGAGTCTACGCAGAGTTTTGACTGCCATGCCTGGGCTACGGAGCTTGAGCCTTCTCTGTCGACTTTCACTGGGCCAGCACAATCTATCCAACTGTTGGAAAAGCTGGGCCAGGCCTATAAATTGGGGACATTGATCTACGGTTGGCGTGTCTGCGATGTGTTCACGGGAGACTCGACTCCGTTGGATGACATAGTCGGGGAGCTGATCGATACTGTTGCTGCGCTACGGAGCAATGAGGCGCTGTTCAAATGCATCCTCTGGCCCTTGTTCGTTGCAGGCCTGGAATCTCAGGATGCGTACCAGAGGCAGTTGGTGGGTGATTGCCTTCGCAGATTCTGGTTCGAAACCAAGTGTATCAACGTGATCAATGCGGAGAAGATTCTGCAGAGATTCTGGGCCGAGGCCGAGCAGAAACCGAATTCGAGGTCCAATTGGATCTTCAGCATGGGACAGGTAGATGGCGATTGGCTTCTGATATGATTGTGCTGAGTGAGTATAGTAGTAGCATTCAGAGAGCGCCATTGAAGCCATCCACGTCATTTGGAGCTGCCCGCCGGTCGCACTAATCGGCAGTTGATTGGCCAGACTTTGCCCCACTCCAAAAGACTTCCCGATCCGGTTAGAGCCATCCCCCGGCCTGAGGCTTCGCGAGGCAAAGAAGACATCGAATTTCCCCGCCGACAGTCAATCATCGTCCCAAGATTGGTGATTCTGCCTTAAGTGGCCTCTGCATTGCATGACCAGCCTCGAAAACGAGCGGTTTATCAGCATGGGGATTATAAATCATCACCATGAGCACATCGCGGCTGGGTCGCGCAGGACTATAAAGATCCCCAACTTCTTCTCTCCTCAGTGACCCAGACATTCTTCAGGATCCAATCTATTGCTTTCTGACCTTCAGTCAATCTATTCTCACCACTGCCAACATGTGCCACAACGAAGTTGAACTCAACGGCTGGACTAGCGTTCCTGTCAACGCTGGTGCCATCTTCAAGGATCAGCCTTTCATCGCCGCACCTGGCCCTCTCTCGATTGACGAGATCAAGTTTCCTTCCGACGATCCCGTTGTTGCAAAGACTCAGGAGTATGCTCAGGCCGTTCTCCATCCACAGACCTTCAATCACTCGATGAGAGTGTACTACTATGGTAAGTCTCTTTGAACGAACGAGGGTCACAGCAACTAATCTCGATCTGCAGGGATGGCTATCGCCAAACAACAGTTCCCCAAGCAAGCCGCTACTTTCAGTCCTGCTACCTGGGCGTTGCTCTGTCTTCTGCACGATCTCGGTACCGCCGAGGAGAACCTGACGGCTACCCGGATGTCCTTCGATCTCTACGGAGGCATCAAAGCTCTGCAGGTCCTCAAAGACTTCGGCGCTACAACTGATCAGGCCGAAGCAGTCGCCGAAGGGATTATCAGACACCAGGACATGGGCGTAGACGGGACCATCACCTTCTTCGGCCAGCTCATCCAACTAGCGACCCTGTATGACAATGTGGGTGACCACCCCCACGTGAAGGACTTCAGCAGGATCCTGCACGATACCACTCGAGAGGAGGTCAACCAGGCGCACCCGCGACAGCGCTGGTGCTCGTTCTTCGCGGACGTTATCCGGAAGGAGGAAACCGTCAAGCCTTGGTGCCATTCCACGCATATTGTAGAGTTCGACAGTCAGGTCGAGGGGAACACTCTGATGAAGAAGTGGGAGTGAATTTTTCGGGTTGTTGTTTGATGTATGCACGGAAGCTATGAATTTATTTGATTGCATGAAGGTCAATCTACACAAGTGTTCCATTGCCAAACCATCTGGTTCGATTTCACGTATGTGATGTTTTGCTGGTGTTCAGATCGGGCCGACTCATTCAAAATGAGGCGATATTTCACGATCGGCTCGATGGTGGCTGCAGCACAGGTCTGACGCGCAGGAGAATCTACTGGTATGAGGTCCAAGCCCACAATAGGTGTTAATGTAAACTACAGTCTCTGGAAACTCCTACCTTGATATATAACCTCAGCGCATGCCGGACCGAAACCGTTCTACGGTAAAAGGAATATACCACACGAATTCGTCTGCAATAGACATCTATCTCGAGCCGCCTAGAAGTCCCATGACAAATGTGTTGGATAGACCTATCAACGTTGCGCTTATATGATGTGTGTCATGCAAGATTGTATTCAGGTATGCCGTTCGATTCTATTGACTCGGCCCTGCAAGCAGTTGCTGCACCCGGGCCGGACAAGTGGCAAATGAACCAATATTGCGATCGAGCCTGAGGTCCGAGCCGGTCTTTCCTGTATGGAAGTCCAAATGCAGGGCACACCAATGACCGGAGTGTAATGGCTGGTATCCCTACGACTGGGGTGATAGGTGAGATGATACCAACTCAATCTGTGCGTTGGAAACGTCCCTTGGACCGAAACGGAAGTACTGTACCCTTAGACACGTCCTATCAGCTTATGCAATAGCCTCTTGAGTAGCACGTTCTAGAGAACGGACTGGGCCCAGAATCAAGGCCATTGCACCATCTACATTTCAGTGAGAGGTAATGTATCGGGCTGGCATCCTGCAGTGTCCTTCGACCACGCTCGATTTTGGAGCCAGTAGATAGCCAGAAGAGTCTCCATACTGAGTGCAAGGCCCCCACTTCTAGATAGGCGGAGGCTTATGGCGATGGCTTGCCTTATCGCTGCAGGAACCAATCGATATATCAACTCTCGATTGCCTTGCAGGATGATCGCTGCCCCTTGCAGTTGTTCCTGGGCTGATGCAATCGCTGCTCGACTTGCGCTATTGACTGCGTTGGCCCCTGATCTACGGCCAAGACCGGCGTTTGTCAAACTACGACTGAGGATCTGGGTGATGTTCGTCAAGTTGACTGTGTTAGTGAGTGTCTTGGTGTTGTGGAATACCGGAGTATATTCGGTGGTGATCGATTCAGCTGGTAGGGGGCCGAGGTAGTTACACGGATATATGTTGCCACTAGCTGGTGGGTTGTAGATGCTACCTGACTTTACTCCACACCCACCTCATAAACTGCGTGGAGTTCCGGTTTCGACAAACATCGCCACCATGGAGCAGATAACTTACCTACACAGGCAGTCCCTGACCCGTAGGTCTACTGAGCGAAACACTTGATGATGCCGCATAGCAGAAAGGAAGAACCCTGTTCCGGTACGGTTCCGGGACCGACAAGCGTGCACGCCACGTGACCACTCTCCGACCGAGGGATCCGAGAAAGCGAGTCAGCCCATGCTACGATTGGCCCTCCTCAGCTGGTTGTTTACATGGCTGTGCTGTGTCAGTGGCCACCACGAGCAAGACAACTTCCTCGGAGGATTCTCCCTTTCGAGCCTGCCCAGCGCATTACTTGTGATGCTTTGATGCTTTGATGCTTGGATGCTGTGGCACCATGCTAGTCAACTCGTGAATGATGATAATGATGTAATTCCAAACCCGTCTGACGATGATGTCCTGCATTCCAAGACACCCGCCGAATGCGTGCCCAGTGTGTGTGTGCACCCGCCGAATGCACGCACCGTCGCACACTCTTCTCTCGGTCTTTCGGGAAGATAATGGGTCCATCAACTATTGCCCCAATGTTTGCGATGGAAAACCTGTCGGAGTGACCCGAATCATATTTCCCCCCCCCATTGGTCCCTCATGAAGGGCCATCGCCTGCCAACACCCAGGTAAAAGGGTCCTGGAGGGGAGAAGAAAACATTGCCAACCCAACCACGCGCTGTTGTTGCCGTCCCGAGTGAGACAGTTCCGGCTATAATTAGTGTGTGCCCGGAGGTCAAGTACTGACTGAGTACGGTAACCATTGTTTGCTGTCTGTGTGTATTTGTTTTCGGTTTTGGGTTGGGGTGTGATTTGAGGGTTGGTTCCTGAGGAGGACCAAAGATGTCGACAACTCGATAGGGCATTTGATGATTTGACCCCGAACCGTACTGTACCTCGTACTGCCTGTTCCTCCGGTCCGCTTGATCCACCGTTCCCAGTTGGGCCAAATGATCACCACGGATGCAGCGAGCAGACAAAGGGACAGTCCCTCAAGGATTGGCTGTCAAAGGTTGTACGCAGTCGGACCGTCCGTATTATTGGCCCCTCCAGCGCTTTAGCGGTTGCTGTCTTATCTATTTTCGTTGACATGTTCAGACCTGTCCAGTGGAATGCCTCTGTTCTTGCCCCATTGCCACCTGGGAAAAACAATAATCATCAGATTTGGAGACAGACTTTTTTTCCCCCATCTCTGAGACATCCCAACTCGTCGGTGGTACTATATAACTCCTCCGCCGGTCTATCCAGCTGCAGGCTTCTTTCTTTCATTATCACCATCACCAACACACACTCGTTCTCTTTGGACTTGACCCCTCGCATTCGTTTTGCATCCTAGTCACCCGTTTAACCCAACTTCTTGCTCAATTTAATCCGCCACCATGCGTTTCTCCTACGCCGTTCTGCCCCTGGCTGCCATTGTTGGCGGTATGTAATTTTTCTTGGTCTGCGAGGAAGATGGTCACTAACGCCTGCCTGCAGCCCTCGAGGTCACTTCCCCCACCAAGGGCGAGGATGTTGATGTCTCCAAGTCCTTCACTGTCAAGTGGGATTCCGTCAGCACCGACGCCTCCAACTTCAATCTTTACCTTGTCAACAACGCCGTCTACCCCCCGGTTGAGCAGAAGATTGCCAGCGATGTCGAGACCTCCAAGGGCTCCTACACTGTCTCTAGCCTGTCCGGCCTGACCGATGGGTATGTTTTTGTCCGGGAGTGTACACTTGTGCAGTAGACTCACACCTTCAACAGCAAGGGCTACCAGATCAACCTGGTCTCCGACGAGCCCCAGAACAGCGGCATCCTCGCCCAGTCGCAGCAGTTCGACGTGAAGGGCGCTTCTTCCAGCTCCAGCTCCAGCTCCAGCTCCAGCTCCAGCGCCAGCGCCAGCTCTTCCAGCACCAGCACCGCCTCTTCGTCTTCGTCTTCGTCTTCGTCTTCCTCCTCCGCTTCCTCCGCCTCGACCACCCTCACCTCGACTGCCAGCTCTTCTACCGGTACTGCCAGCACCCTCATCTCCACTACCAACACCCTCATCTCCACTACTGCCCAAACCACCACTGCCCAACCCACCACTGCCCAAATCACCTCTTCCTCCTCCATCATCGGCGCTCAGTCGTCGAGTGCCCGCGCCAGCACCGCAGTGGCGAGTACTAACAGTGTGTCGCCCTCAGGATCCGCTACCCCCAGCTCGACGGCCAACGGCACTGCCCCGACGGCCTCGGTCGTTCCCGGAGCTGGTTCCGCCCTGACTGCCCCCTTGACCGCCGTCGCCGGTCTGGTCATGGGCGCCATGGCTCTTGCTCTGTAAACGAGCATGCCCTAGATGCTCGAGAGATGATCCGCAACCGGTGGACAGCTGGAACCCTCTCCATGAACCCACCGCACCACCCTTTCGGATCATCGGATCCCGCTTTGATTTCCACTTCGCAATACGTTAATTACTACTATGGACATAAAAGGCGATCTCCGCGTGAAGTGAGATTGCTGTATTAATTGGACTGTGTCGGGAGTGAATTGGTTGTTTTGTTTTGCTGTGTTTATTTGCCATGCTCTGTTCTAGAATCATAACAATCTACCATTACTGTGCAGATAGTGCCCAGTGGTCGCGCATTGGAGCTCCTTTCCTGGTTCCCCAGTAACCTCGGATCTCGCCGACCGTGGCCCATGTTTGTGTCGCTTGCCTGTTCCTGAAATGATTGTGCGACCGAATGCAAATATGGTTCATCCTGGCGCCATGTTTCGAGTGAAAAAGTGCACGCAGCGAGTCTGACATCATCCACCGCCGAATGCAGGGGGCGAGCAAAATGGGACAGAGTTCATTGGTGTAAGGGCGGCATCCACCGCCTTAGACCCTGATGGTCATTTCGTATGGGCTGGTATTGAAAAATACGCACTGCATCCGGAACCGCACGGCGGGCTGGCCGGAAAGGGCGTTAGTGCAGCCCCGAGAGTTTTTCAGTCCTGGTCTGCTGCTGCTGCTGCTGCTGCTCAATGACGCCGGATTCTCTCTTCCGAGACATTTTCTCAGGTGTTCAAGTTTGCTGGTTCTCCTGCCAGGAACAGCAAGACCCCGCTGTAATGTCTCAATCTGTTTTCGGATCTGGCAGGGCTTTTTCCTGCTCTGTTCTCCGCGGGTTGGTCGATACGATGTGGATGGGGCTTGGCGAATAGCCGGCTTGCACGCTTAGAGGCTGAGATAAGGGAAATGAGCTCTACATCTGCTTGCATCGAAGGATTGACACCCCTGCAGTGATGGACAGGGGGAATTGACTTGACCGTTCAGTTGATAGGGGAAAGGTGGTGATGAGTGGAAATGAGATGAGATGAGATGCATTGGGTGCATGTTGTCTGTCAGTCAGTGAACAGCCATCAGACCTATTGGCAATAATGTTTCAGTGCAGTGCCCCACTTGCATTATGATTACTCAAGGTTTACTTCATGAGGAATTGCCTGATTGGGGTGTGTAGACTCCTTGGGTGTCATTGACTCTATTTTACTTTTGGTGCAGGTTGCGCTGGTCGTGCAGTGGTGCCAGCCAGCGAGCAAGCCCTCGTATCCCGGTCTATGGGGGAGAGGGCCCATGGCCCGGTCCGGTGGATGTTACCCATCTTCAGCTTACCTTTTGCTCACCCACTCCCAGCTTGGAGCCAGGAATCCCCCGGTATCCCCAAATCTACCCGTAGATATCATGATCACTGCATCCGCAACTGTCAGTCACACCAACACCAACCCAGCAACCAAGAAGGGGCAAACACATACAACGGGTCATTCAGCCTCCCGCGGTCCGGCGCCGCCGCATCAATCCAAACGCTAACCCCAACTGCCCCAGGCCCTCCCCCTCCCTCCACGGGGAACTCCCCATACCCCCGCGCGTCAATCACCACCGTGCCTAGTTTGCTGTCGCTGCTGCTGTTGCCGCCCCCCAGCACCTCCGTCCACGTCGTCTGCGCGTGTCGCTGCCCGACATACATGCGCTTCGTGGCACGCCCGGGCGCGTTGCTCAACACACACGCCAGTCCTGTCGGGTGGCGCGCGTTGCCGTATCGGACGAAGCCTGTGGTTGCACACGGGTGGGTCAGATACGAAGCCGCCACGGGAGGGATTAAGTCCCAAAGTCATGGAGTCATCACTCCTTCGGGGAATTTGGGGGATTGCCACCTGGCAATTAACTTGGATGGTAAGGCTACGGGAACGTACCGATGCAATGCGCTTGGTCGAAGTAGTCTTGTTGCTCGCCGTAGGCGAAGAGCTTGCGCGTGCGCGTGAGGATGGGCAGGTGGTAGGCGTAGGCTGGGTCGCGGTGGGCTTGTTGTTTCTGCGCGTCCCAGATGCCGTAGATGTCGCCGTAGAAGAGACAGGGGCGGCCTTCTTGGCGGAGGAGGATGAGGGCGTAGGCGAGCAGTTTGAAGTCCGGGGTGATGGTGTTCTGCGCCGGGGTCAGTACTGGTAAGGCTGTGGTTGGATCTTAGGGCTGGGGCGGTTCTTACCTCCATCATCTGACCGGGTTGCTGGCTTGCTGTTAGCGGTCCTATTTGAAGGGTGCCTGGTGAGCTTCACGTACCGTGTCATGGTTCTCGACGAATGTCTATGCTCCAAGGTCAGCACTCCGTCCACCTCACCTTCACCCACTGCACTCTCGAACAGCAAGAACATACCAAAGCATTCCCGCCACACCGTTCCACCAACGTCCCCCGCAACACGCGCCGCAGGTCCCCGCGCCCTTTCTCCAACGACACCCGTGAGAAGTTATGCACCAGCGGCGCATCGACCGCGACGACCGTCCCCTCCATCTCGGTCTGGACGTACCGCACCAGCTCCTGCACATCCCCCGTCCAGTACTCCCCGATGACCACAAACTCCGGGTCCGTGGTCGCGCGCATATGTGCCGTGAACTCCTTCTGGAACCGCATGGAGAAGTGCTTCGCCGCGTCCAGCCGCATCCCCTTCAGCCCCAGCCGCTGGCCGATCCACGTGCCCCAGCGCAGCACGTCCGCGCGCACCTCCGGGTGCGAGTAGTCCAGGTCCGCGAACATGAGGTAGTCGTAGTTCCCCAGCTCCTGGCCCACGTCCTCCGCCCAGCCGGGCTTCCCCGCCCCGCAGATCCGGAAGATCGCGTTCTCTTTGGCGGTGTCATCCCAGTCGACGCCGCTGAAGTGGTACCAGTGGTATTCCTGGGCGCTGTGGATGGGACCCCGCCCGGAGAAGGTGAAGCCCGTCCAGCCGGAAATCTCGGTGGGGTTGGCGACTTCGATGTCGCGTCCTGGTTTCACGATTCTGAGCAAACGGCTGTCTTGGGGATGGGGGATGGGGGATCGGGGCGCATACGCTGAGAATCAACCTTGACCGCCTCAAACCGCTCCGGGAAATCGGCGCCGGCCTTGTGGTTCAGCACGGCATCCCAGTACACGCCCACCCCGAGGGCGTGGGCGTCCTCCATCAGGGCCTCGAGGTCGGCGAAGGAGCCCCATTTGGTGGCGGTGCAGCCCTTCTGGTCGAACTCGCCCAGGTCGTACAGGTCGTAGATGTCGTACCCGTTGCCGGACGGATTCATCGCTTTACAGCCGGGCGGGAGCCAGACGGAGTCGACCCCGATGGCGTGCAGGGCCGGCAGGGCGCGTTGCAGCCGCCGCCAGTGGCGATTGTCGTTCGGGATGTGCCATTCGAAGCCTTCGAAGAGGAGTGTGTTGTCGTTGGGGTCGTGCCAGCTGGGCTGGGTTTCCACGTTGTCGGCCGTGGCTGTGCATCACGTTCAATATCAATCGCTCTATGTTCTGGTGAGCGGGATAGCTAACCCTCGATTTGCTTCCAGTCATGGAGGTCTCTGCGCTTGCGCGGGCGGAAACACCACAGCAAGGAATCCATTGTGCTGTGTCTGTTCGGGTGTACACTTGTGTATGGATCGGAAAGTGTATACCTGGTGGCGACTGTGTTCTATACACATACACATACACATACACATGCAGGGAGATCGGATTGGCCCCTGATTGCTGTACTCTTGCTGGTGCTCTTGCTGGTGCTTCAATGCAGCCACCGACTGCCTAAGCTCAATTAGTCCCTGTGTTTATCCCGAGGAGCTTTTCTTACGCCGGCGGGTACGGTACAGCGGTACGGCTGTGACCGCCTTGCCCCATTGGAAGGGACGCGATCCGAGGTAAGACAGCGCAAGCGAGACACAATACCGGTATCAAGTGGGTAATGACAGACCCTCCGGCGGAAGAATATTCGATCGAAGAAAGCGGCCACAGGCAGTCTCAGCTCCAGCACGAATGTGGAGTCACCCTCAAAAGCCGGTCGAACCTGATAAACCGAGGGAACTCCATTTTTAGACGCAAGCTTCGGTGATGGAGCGAAACGGTGGTGTCCAAGACATTTCAGATTGTCGCCCCACTACGCCAAAGACATTGGAGATTAAATGCTCTGAAGAGATTACTTGATGGAAAATGCATGCATGCCCCTGACTGCGCTGCAGGGTTGAGCATAATGAAGCTTAGCGTACCGGCTACTGGAAGGGAGGAGTTAAACTCAAGTAAGGGCCTGGGGCTAAATTCAAAAAATAATAGTAATAAAAAAAAAATGAAAACAAAAAGGAAAAGGTCAACCAGGTACAGCGCCAATCGAAAGAGGAACGAACACCAAGGTATGTAAAATGTGTATGTACATCAAGAACTTGCTTAGGAGCAGCCGCAGCAGCAGCAAGAAAAAGAAAGTTAATCAAACCCGTAATCGGGCGCACCATTTTCCAACCACACCCCAAAACTAAACAAGCAACAAGCCAGTCAACAAGGTAATCATCGCAACCAAACCCCCGGTCACCTGCGCCACGGTCGGAGGGGCCGCGGAACCCAGCGCTGCCGCCGCCGCCGACAGCCGCAGATGGCTCAGCGAGGTGGTGTTGGAGCTGTAGCCACACAAGCCGCTGCCGGGCATCAGCGTCATCGGGAAGAACACCCGCGGCTCGCCCTTATCCATGGGCACGATCAGCTGGCTGTAGTCGTTGACCGTGTAGTTCACGCAGTTCAGCACCTCCACCACCTCGATGCCCGCCCCGTAGGTCATGGGCAGGGTGACGTTGTACGAGCTGCCCGTGCTTCCCTGCGTCGACAGCAACATTACTACCTGCCGTCCAAACGCGCCCTTCCAGAACGCCAGCTCGCTGCCTCCCTGGTACAGCGGGATCGTCTGCATCTCGATGTACTCCGGGTCCAGCTTGTAAGCGTGCTTGCGCACTCGGTTCAGCTTCGAGATTAGCGTGTACAGCGTCGAGCTCGTGTCGTAACCGTATTCCCACAGCGCCTCGCGGTTGTGTGTACCAGCGTACGAGCCGTTCAGGTGCTGCTCCTGGCCTTGGTACACCCAAGGGATCCCGTCGTAGAGCATTTCGAAGACGATGGCGTTCTTGGCCAGCTGCATGGGGGGGTTAGTTCAGAGCCCTTTTTCATTCATGCTGATACTCATGCTCATGGTCGTGCTCATGGTCATGCGGAGGCTTGTGCTCAATGGAAGCAGAGGGAGCTTACCGTAAGATCGTCGTTGGCGAACGCGAACCGGTCCACATCGTGGTTCTCAATGAAGGTGGGCATGGCGGGGACGTCGTTGCACAGTTGCTGGACGAGGGCGATCCGTTCGAACAGGGCGCTCGGCTTGCCGCGCGTGAACGCATCCAGAATGGTGTAGTACAGCGGGAAATTGGGCAGACTGGACAGGTAGTTGTCCTGGTAGTAGCAGACATTGGAGGCGTCCTGATCGAAGACCTCACCGGTCATGAAGGTGCCCACGCGGTCTTGGAAGATGGCCAGGAAGCTGGGTGTGACCGACTTGGCGGCGTCGATGCGCAGCCCGTCGATTGAGTACGTCGAGATCATCTGCGTGGCCCAGTCGATCAGCGTGTTTTGGACATCCTCGTGCTCGGTGTACAGATCGGGCAGGGCGACGATATCGTCACCGGTCTGGCACAGCTGGGCCTGCGTGTAGTTGTTCCAGTTGGAGATCTCACAGTAGCTGTGATAATAGGACGAGCTGTTGAAGGGGGTCAAGACCGAGTAGTCGATGCTGGTGGCCGGGTTCTTGCCGTTGGTTACGTAGGCCATGTTGTTGATGACCGTGTCCATCATCAGATACATGCCCCGCGCGTGGACGGCGGAACTGAGATCCAGCAGATCTTGGTGCGTCCCGAACCGCGAATTGAGCGAGTACAGATCATCCGGCCAGTATCCATGGTAGGCCTCACCATACGAGACTTGACCGTCGATATTCTGGATAACGGGCGAAATCATTACCGCATCAAAGCCCATGCCCTGGATATAGTCGAGCTTATCAATGGTGCCGCGCCAGGTGCCTCCACAGTACAGTCCGGCCGTGGTGTTACAGGCGGCCGCCGTGGTGCCGGCCGGCAGCGCAAACCGGTCGGTCATCGTCTGATAGATACTGCGCGACTTCCATTGTTGCGTCGTCGCGGCTGAGACGGTGTCATACCCACCCAGGAGGGCGAGGGTGAGAACCCATTGCCCAAGGCTGGCAAGTGAAACCATTGTGTGTCGTGTGTCGTGGGTCGAGTGTCGCGAGTTCTAGTGCGGGTGGTGGTGCTCTCCCTCCCCAAAAGCAAAGAACGGTGGATGGGCAGAGGATTCAGAGGAGGAGGAGAGGGGAAATTTACTCCCAGTCAATTCGGTCTAGGGTAATTGCTGGTGTACTGCACGCGGTTCAACAGCACGAGAGCGATGGGCGCATTACCACCAGGGGGACCAAAACAAGGAATAGCGAGAGAAGAACAAGAAGAGAATAGCGTGTGTGATGCAGAGATGCAGAGATGCAGAGATGCAGAAAGAACGGCAGTAGTCGGTAGAACGAACGAATGAACAGCAAGTAGGCTGGAATGAATGAATGGGATGCGTTAACAGGCAAAGAGCGTCATCTCGATAAGATGAGGGGAATGGCAGAGGGCATGATTGGGAAGAGGAGATAACTTTGCAGGAAACGGAAGGACGACGACGACGTCTACATAGTCGAGTGCTGGCTGGCCACGACCGGAGGGGGAAAGCCAGAGAGGCAAAAAAGCCCTAACTAACTGAGTGCAGTCAACTAAGTCTGGAGAAATCTTCAAGCTATCCCCAAGCAGCTAGTGACGGGGCCATCACCTTCTAGTTGGATGCTAGTTGCGGCCACAAGAGGCCAGAAGAGGTCATAAGATATGGTGGTGTCCATCATTCCTATCCAGGGGGTATGCTTGTTGCGGCGAAAAATGGGTAAACCTGGATGAATTGACTCAAGTTCCCCTCTTTTCCAGGGCTTGAGTGGCCGCTGGACCGAATTTCCTTGGAAAGTGTGGAAGTTCCTCGGCAGAAAAGCAGGTACAACAACGCCCGCTGGTGTCCGGTCACAAATGGATTATTGCCGTTCACGGGCTAACGTTCCCCATGTCCGTCCGTCTAGCGTGGGAAAAAAAAAACAGAAGCGTGGGTGGGGGTGAGACAGGAGAACTCTTAGTCTATTAGACCGGCTGCAGGCCTATCACCCTCGACGAATAGAGGGCCAACATCCATATCAGGTCTCACTTGCACCACCAGCCCGCATGCATCCTCGCCGGCTATTTGTTGGTTCCCCTTTTTCGCCTGCTTATAGTCCAGCAGCCGGGTTAGTGGTGCCTGAGCGGCGATAATATAAACCCCTGTCAGGACGCCCACGATCGAAAAAAAGGGGGTCATATGGGTCATCATGGGCGATTATGGGCGGGCGTTGAGTCGTTGATAGCATGACTGGAATGCGTAGTGGATAGATCGGTTGGTGTGTACAGTACAATGTCCGGAAGCAAGACAACACAGGGCAGGGCAGGGCAGAAACTCCGGTCAGGGTTCGATCTCCGTCCTCAGCCCAACTGGCCGTAGCACACTGGTGGATCCGGGCACGAACACCCTATTACCCTATTGCCCTATTATTCCTACGAACTGCTGAGCAAAGGGAAAACGGAAGGGACTTGCAGTGGGCAGATCAACGGGTAATTTCAGGGGATTGACAGGGGCACGTGTGGTTTGTGTGGTTTGCTTAGTTTGCTTGTTGGTAAGAGGGGATTGGGCGGTGTTCAAGGTTGGTGCATGCAGCCTTGAATTACCAACAAACAAACAAACACGCTCCCAACCACAGGCATTCAGGCATCCAGACATTCAGGAACAACAGATAAGCGAGGTCAGGAGAAAGTCCCGAGCTGGGATGGGATTCTTATCACCACCGCCACCCACCATCAACACCACCTACGTCAGATATTATTATTGCCAATCCCGGTTAAAATTAAATAAAGGATCTAATCTAGAAGCAAAGAACAAAATCCCCTCCCTTTCTACCCCCCCCCCCCCTACATGAGTCAAGGGAGGGGAGGGGCTTCCGTCGGGATGGTGCCGGATCACCTTATCCATCCATCCCAAAGAGTGATCGAGTGCAACCGTTGCATAATATACTCCCTCGGGTAGGGTGGCGAGGAGCCGTCCGCGGAGAGAGCCCTACATCCACTCTCCGGGTGCAGAGCGAGACACTGGAAATTGCATCCATCTATTATTAGGAGGGGTACGGAGTAAAGTGAGTGATCAGTCATGGACTCGCGGGAAAGTCAGCATCAGAGCCTCAGGCTTTCCGTCAGCCTGAACACGGGTGTGATGGATTACTACTCTGTAGGTGTGGATTATGGATTGATCACATAGTCTTCCAAGTATGGGACCTTGAACCGGTGGTCTGAGACATGGAATGGGACGGCATGGGCTGGCAGCCAATCCAAGCCCGCCAGAGGATCAGTGCCAAGACCCTGGCTGGTGGGTCAGTGCTACTTTTCTGCCTCTTGCTGCCTTCGCTGCCTCCAAAATTACCGTAGCTGCATGCACGCTGTAATTTGCAATGCACAAATACCGAGGCCCGTTTTCATGGACTGAGGGTTTTAAGGGTTCTGAATCGGGGACCCTGTCCCAATCCGGCAAGGTGAGAATCAGGGCACAAATGTGTGTGGCTACCGAGGGCATTGCACTGCAATGATCCAATCCCTCCAATCTACAGCCCCCAATGCCAATCGGAAGGATCCGTTTGGATCGGACGCTGACTGGCCACTAAGCCGGATTATCTCCTAAACAGACCTATCAATTGGGTCATGTCACTTTTCCGTGTCTCAAATTCTCCTCTCTAACGGACAACGGACAAGTGTCTTCAATAATTTGTTTCATTAGCTCCCTGGGTGGACAAGCTGACGGACAATGGCAAGGGGGAGAGACTGTCCTTGCTGACTGCCACAGGTTACAGGACAGAAAGAAAGCAATGAAAGCCACCTTGGGGCGAGGCAGGCCCTTCTTATCTTCGAACTCATCTGGAGCGGGAAGTTGGGAGAATAAATACCTGCACCCCTACCGTAGCGATTAGGGGACTACCTGCTCCGTAGCGCATACCGTATCTACTGGATCCGGGCGATAAGGGACCAGGCCGACCGCACGCGAACGGAGAGGCCGGCCGGTGGCCGAGTTGGGACCGATCCCTCTGACTGCTACTGAATACTGAGACAAGAGCCTTGGGCTGTGCCGCTCAGCTCTCTTCCTCTCTCTTTTTCTCCCTCTCGCTCTCTCATCGCTTCTTCCCTTGTGCATTCTATCTTTCGTTGTTTTTTTTTTTTTCGATTCATTCCCCCCCTTCCCCTTTCCTTTTTCTCGCGGGTACGAGGGGCAATTTTACAGCTCCCAGTCAGCTCGTGGGCCCCGGTGCTTCTGCCCACCTCGTAAAAAGACGAATGGCTTGTAATCGGGGCGGTTCGCTTGGCGCCTCCCGACGATAAGACAACTTACTTAGACTAAACTCCCTTTTGCTGGGTGGTAGGTGGACCCTTCCCGGTGGGCTTGGAGTCGATGGATTCAGTTACTGTCTGTCTGTCTTGTCGGTTGGTCCCGAGTGGATTTACGCCGTAGTAAAAATAAAATACTGAGACCGGAAAAAAAAGTCAGTCCAAAAAAAAAAAAAAAAAAGAACCCTGCGGTCCGGGTTCAGTTGAGGGGTCTGCCCGTTTTCCTCATCTAACTCGTCGCATCCATCCTGCAGCAGGAACCAACATTTCATACATACATCATACAGGGCAAGGCGAAATGGATCGAGAACCCTTTCCCCGGAAGGAGGCGCACGGCAAAGAGGCAAGTAAAAGATGGGAACCAGACATCATTGAGGGAATCTGAGATGGAATATGGAATACGGAGTAATAAGTGCGGATCCCAGAGTTTTAGCTCTCTTTTTTTTTTGCCCTCACTCTCTCTTCCTGCTCGACAAAGAAGAGGCCAAAGAGACCGAACAGACCCAACAGACCAACGAGAGCAAAGACCCAAGAGATAAAGGAGAACAAAGTTCACAAAGTGCACAAATTACTAAGGACTAAAAAGGTCGTCAACTTGTCACTGCTTCCTTCTAGGGAATAATAGTCTCTAGTAAGCCTGGCCCCGGTGCTCTGCTAGTAGTTATTCTTAGCAGAAAAACGAGGGCCTCTCTGCCTCGTTCGATCCACTTGTTACATCTAACCTATCGAGCCCTTCTCGGCCCTGATATTCAATCTCACGACATCTCTCCTTCTACTTTCCCAACCGGCTTATTCGCTGTCCACCTACCTTTTTTTTTTTTTCACTCGCCCTCTCCTACAACCCTTTAGCTTTGGTCCCTCGTTTCTCCTCGTATACCTGGTGCATTTCCTCCTCCCTCTTCCTCTTCTCTTCCTTTCCTCACCCACCTTTCTCTCGTTTACACATCTCCGCATTTGCTTCTTGTCCTGCGTGGGCATTCCTCCAACCTCCTCCCACCTTATCACAGCTCTCCCCGCTACTTATCAGTAGCCCACCCCCATCAGACACAGGCCGAAAACAGCCCAACAGACATCACCCCCCGACATTCGTTTACGTTCACGAGCTAATCTGTCCTTATTTTGGTTTTTCTGCATCCAGCCAGACTTTTGGGACGAGTACTTGTACATGACTCCCAAATAGAGGCCCGCCCTCTTTTCTTCTCCCCCTCCCCCCTCCCCTTCGTTTGTTGTTGGCAGAAAAAGCTTTGAGGGCAACAACAATGAAGTGGGCATCCAGTGGTACACTACTGGCTCTGCTGGCCTCGCGAGCAGCAGCCTGGCCATGGAACGAATCTTATGCTGCCTACAACTTCAATCAGAACAAAACCGCCACCGATCCGCTCGATTATTGGGGTGAATGGCCCAACCACACGGGCAAATACTTCCCCTCCCCGCATAATTGGCGTGTCCCCGTCTACACGCTGTTCCTCGATCGATTTGTGAATGGAGACCCTACCAACGATAACATTAACGGCACGTTGTTCGAGCATGATCTCTCGTCAACGCAGATGCGTCACGGTGGTGATGTGGCGGGTTTGTTGGATACGTTGGACTACTTGCAAGGCATGGGAATCAAGGTCGGTGGTCTCGAAAGCACTCTATGGTCCCGGGTTTTCTGTTCTCTTTGGAACTGCGTTTGACTGACTCTCCTGATGGGTAGGCACTGTATTTGGCCGGAACTCAGCT